GGTCAAATCCACTTGTATCAAGAAAGTTAAGGATGGACATGATGGGCTGGACCAGGATAATCGTTCATATCATTGATTTGGGTAACAATGGTGAATGGGAGGAATAGGCTATCAAGTGGCAGTTTACAAATAACTTACCAATTCGATTCTTCTGATATTGGATGATGTTTCTGTGTTTGGGCGTTTTTCAGTCAAATCTCATCGGATCAAGAAAGTTGAATGATAGGCATGCTGGGCTGGAGCAGGACAATCGTTCGTATGCATTGGATTGGACAGCAATGGAGAATGGGAGGACTAAGGTTATTAGATGGCATTTTGAACTATCCCTAAATAGCGTACAAGAATCATGCATCGCCTGTGCTGAATGACTCAAGTTACACAAACACGCCCTCTGCATCTTTTGCTCTATTATAGTCATACTACTTTACATTAAACAAAGACCACTTCTCATATAGCATCACGCTCACAAACATAAAGGTGCCTGTATCTCCAAACTTTACAATCAAACGTGGGGTTTTTATTAGAGCAATGTGCTCGGCTTGGCCAACTGCACCTTGGGTGCCAGTTTCATGATCAAGCTTGCCAATCCCAGATTTCGCAATGTCGCCACCAGCCAAACTGGATCTGGGGGTCGACCTCTTCGACGACGACGACCAAAAAATATTTTTTGGGCTAGTTGCGACATTGAACGTGAAACTTTCACACAAGGTGCTGTTGGCCAAGCCGAGCCCATTGCTCTATTCAAAACCCCACGTTCGATTGTAAAGTTTGGAGATACAGGAACCTTTATGTTTGTAAGCGTGATGCTATATGAGAAGTGGTCTTTGTTTAATATAATGTAGCTGGACCCTGGCAGAGCAAAAGATGCAGAGGGTCGTGTTGTGTAACACAGCTACGTTTGCATGAACGAAAGGGTCAATGTATAATTACTTTATGGATCATCTAGGAACAGGCATGTATTGCTAGCTAACGGCCACTTTTATCCATTCATCATTGTTGCGAGATCCACTGCATGGGAACGATGCCCCTGCTCCAGACATTCATTTCCATGATTAAAGTAGGTTGATCCGAGCTGATTTGGCTGAGCTACGGTCAAAGAGAGATTACATCACTCTGGACATAGAGCACGCTCGATGTAGCTCAACCGATGTAATCTTGTGTCAGCGTAACTCAACCAAATCAGCTCGGATCAACCTACTTTAATCATGGAAATGAATGTCTGGAGCAGGAGCATCATTCCCATCACGTGGATTTCGCAACAATGCTGATTGGATGAAAGTGGCTATTAGCTGCCAATGTATGACCTGAAAATGAGGGTTGCGTACCTGTCATGCACGGTCCCTGAAGTCCAAACTTTTTAACCCAGTTACACAAACACGCCCTCTGCATCTTTTGCTCTACTATAGTCATACTACTTTACATTAAACAGAGACCACTTCTCATATAGCATCACGCTTACAAACATAAAGGTGCCTGTATCTCCAAACTTTACAATCAAACATGGCGTTTTTATTAGAGCAATGTGCTCGGCTTGGCCAACTGTACCTTGGGTGCCAGTTTCATGATCAAGCTTGCCGATCCCAGATTTCGCAATGTCGCCACCAGCCAAACTAGATCTATGGGTCGACCTCTTCGACGACGACGACCAAAAAATATTTTTTGGGCTGTTCGCGACATTGAACGCGAAACTTTCACACAAGGTGCTGTTGGCCAAGCCGAGCCCATTGTTCTATTAAAAACCCCACGTTTCATTGTAAAAGTTTGGAGATATGGTTGTCTTTATGTTTTCACTATGCTGTAAGCGTGATGGAGTTGCTTTTTCCTAGTGGATGGTGTCGACTGCATTAACGGGAAGATGAAGAGCTGAGTGAAACCGCACGTGGTGGTTACACAGACACGTCCTTGACAGGTTGCGACACAAGTGGATGATGATGATGATTGCCTTCTGTGAAGGTACGTAAGTAAACAGCATCCAATAATGAAGGTGTGTCAAGGTATGTATCACATTTGCATGTAGGAGAAGGTCGAGCTGCATAAACCAATTTGTATATGTAAAAAGATACGTATACATATTGAATGGGTCACTCATCCTGAAACTCAATGGAGGGATCTCTTCACTTTTTCTCTTCTCAAGCTCATCCCACTTCCCACCCCTCCTTATCGCATTACAAAAGCCATATACTTCTTGCATGACCGATACAGTAACCGGACCAACTTTATTATTCCATCTTCGAAGCAATAGTATGTAATCCACAAGCTACTAGCAACCTCCAACAAGCGTGTAATAAATAAACAATGCTTTATATCATCTAGCTATCTTGCTACTGTACATTGCCACCGCCATCGTCGTAGTCGTCCTCCGTCATCATTCGTACTCGTACTCGTCACCAGTCGTCAATCTCATCCGTCACACCAACATCCAAAAATACACAAGTTGAAAAGAATGGGATCTTGCAGGCTTCCTTTTGAATCTCGTTGTCGTCATCGTTGTCATTGTTGTGGATGAGGTGATCATCGTAATCGTCATTGTTGTGAATGTCGTTATCATCGTAATCGTCATTGTTGTGAATGTGGTAATCATAGTAATCGTCTTCTCTACAAATAAGAAAGCAGACAAGTTAGACCATCTGGTACCAGAATGATGACGATTTGGTATACCGTTAGGCGATCCTCCCTAAGGAAGAAAGCAAATCAGAAGGAATTCACATACCAAATTACCCCCATACGAGCAACGTCGGGCGATCCCTTGTTCTTGAGAAAGCACTGCACGAATCACGCAAGGCCAGTTCGATCCATGGCAAGGAAGGACTCACTTACGTAGAGTCCAGGCTCATAGTTGTCCTCATTCATCCTCTCCAAAGAAAGAATGATCCCCAATCCAATCCTTCCAATCATTTCCCACCTCATGAAAAGAAATCCTCAAGGGAAAGAACGAGTCTATCATGAGAAGAGCGTGTTGGTTAAACACATTCACAAGCTGTTACAAATCCCCTTTTACCTCAACACGGTGACCATGCTCTTCCAAAAACCCATCGCCATCGACCACTTGATCCAGGCTGGGATTTGAACCCAAAGAGATGATGATGCCCCAAGTTGCATTGCCTGACCAAAGAAACCTATTCAATTCATTATTAGCACACACTCACACACACAATAACCATCCTTTTCATTGTTCTTTTCCATTAAACTCACCTTTTCCATATACTAAAGGTTACTGGAAACCGAAAAACCATGGTGTAGTGTAGTTGAGCCGAAACAAAACCCCAAACCAGCCAACGTGTTGAGATCGAACTTGCCCTCTATACAAGCTAACACGTCAATGGAACGAGTTCTTCTGCAACATTGCACGCTGAATTACCTGTTGACACGAAGCGTAGAGCGGGAATAGCAACGAACAAGAGGAGGCAACGATATCGCCATGGCAACCACCAACCACCAACCACGCTCATTCCTCAGCACTTGGAGACACGCTCACTCCCTGACAATGCATGTTCAGAACTACATTAATACCTCACAGCCAACAAGAGCACTCTTATAATACATTACCTTGATTGGAATGTCGTGAATGGGGTAAAAGCAGAGGAGGGAGAAAGAGAAGAGAATCCTTGTCTCAAGTCGTGGAGCTGCTGTCCCCCAAGTTTAAATCCCCCTACTGCTATTACACTGAGGCCACTCAATTATCCTATATACACCATCCATCCAAACACACAACTCACCCATCATTATCATCATCATCACCTTCACGTGCACAAGTGCCAGCTCATGCCAACATGCTCAGTATCAAACTCATCATCAGCCGTGGATCTCTTCAAGCCATCCAAGCCGGTTTTCAGCGTACTTCCATAGACGATGCTGCAAAGGAACGGTCGTTATACATAAAGCCATGCAAAAGAGTACCTGCATCTATCAAACTACTATCCCATGTTTGTGAATTACTCTATATACCAATCCTCTCAATTGAAATCGCCTATGTTCATGCTAGGTATAATAAAAATGATTCTTTGACGTCTTTCTTTAAGCAGTGTGCTGTACAACACGATGATGTTGTGTTGACAACAAATGTTTCATTAGGGCAGCAGGAATGCTTAGTTGGATACTATATCGGGAATCGGATGATGAAATTGTAGGCTCGCGGAGGTAATACGAGACTAACAGGTTTATACATTTCCATCAAGTGGGCAACATTGGTCTTTCCTTTTTATTTTCATCAGGCTATATACGCTGCTATCCTGAGGCATGATAGAGTAGTATATAATTTGAGATCATGATAGAGGATAAGGAACCTATACTGTGTCAGAGTCAAGTTGTACTAACAAGTGTGCTCATTGGGAGCAAAAAGAAGGATTGTCGCTCTTTGGACAAGCGATGAGCCCGATGGATGTGGGATGAAGTGTTAAGCTTCTTTGCGTAACTTTTGTTTGTGTTACCATTACGGCTGTCCCAACAACGAATACCCAGCTGCCGGGTCTATATTCGCATTCAGCGATTGCCATCCGCGTAAAAAGATATTCCTTTATTTTTGCTGTATAGCTTCGGTGAAATGAAAGGAGAACTATAAAGGAATAAAAGATTTGGATGCATAATGATGATGACGTCTTGAGTTTTTGCCTATATATGGTGGGAAAAGTGCGTGTGTGAATTTCAGCTTACCCCAGACGCTTTTGGATGCGGAGGAGGAGAGTGGAGGTGGAGGGAATGAAAAGTAATGCAAACTTGGCGAGAAATAAAGTCGTGCATGACATACATAGTGTACCTGCAGCAGCAATGACAACAATATCCATGGCAACGACGCTGTGCATGGTAACACCCCATCTTTGATACTTAGCAACTTTAACAAAAAACAACCGACCAAGGAAAAAGAAACCTCCTTTGTCTTGTATCCGGACTATCCTTGCGGCCATTGTACAACATGCACTATTTCTTTGAGCCATTGTCTCACTTCTTTTGGGTCTTTACCTTCCTCTCTTTCCCCCATTCTTGACGCTTGGACGAATCGCGGCATGACCGACATTGAAGGATCCACCAAGATTGAATATGCCGACAAGGCCATGTCGTCGTCGTCATTACAAGAATATCGCACCTACCCCATACGCTTTTACGGTCTTACTGTTATTGGCTTGTTGAACATTGCCTCTTCTTTGTGTTGGCTATCAGTGGCACCTGTTCCTGATTATGCATCCGAGTATTTTGGTGGAGCCAGTCTTTCAGTCATCAACTGGTTCTCGAATGTATTCATGCTCACGTATCTTGTCGCTGGCCCATTATCAAGTATCGTCTACGATCGATGGAATATCAAGATTGGTGTAAGGGATTGTCTCTTGTATGTTTAATAGGTGCCATTCTTGCTTATCATCATCATCTCCATCATAGATTGTGGGTGGTGCTTGTCTCCAAGTGCTTGGTGCATGGCTACGTTTCTTTTCATGGTTCGTCAAGAATTCCTCCTCTGGTCGATTAGCTCTCGCCATGGTGGGACAGGTAAGATGTGATGTCCCAAATCAAGAGACAGCGTTATTGATCCTGTGCAACGAACAACAAAGGTCATTTGTGCCATTGGTCAACCTTTCATCTTGAATGCAGCTACACCGGTAAGCAATGAACAACATTAAGAATGGTAATCATTCTCATGCAAGCATCGTTTACATAGTATGCTGCCCTTTGGTTCAGCCCTGACGGTCGTGGATCAGCAACTACCATTGGTGGATTAAGTAAATGATCCTTCTTTCTCCCATTCTCTCTTGTTGTTGCATATAGGAGTTGACTCATTTTTCTTTTCACGTTGTTTAGCCAATGCTGTGGGAATGGCAATTGCATCTCTTGTTCAGCCAGCACTCGTTACGGACGTGGATACAATGTGGCAAGGGGTAAGTAGCACAAGAACCCTGAGAGTTACACTGATTATCCCCGGGAAACTTCAACTCAAATATACATTCTTCCTTGTACTTAGCTGCTATTCATTGCATGCGTCAATACAGCTTTTGCTATCCCTGCCTTCTTTATTCCACCCAAGCCAAAAACACCGCCATCCTACAGTGCATCAGCAGGCGATGAACGCAACATTCCTTTCTTTACATGTATGCGGATGTTGTTTACCAACTACAATTACTTGATCATTATGCTTTCATTCGGTGTCCTTTGCGGTCTATTTTCAACCTTGTCAACACTCATGCCACAAATCCTTACACCTTATGGATACACCAACGATGAGGCAGGCTATGTCACGGTGGCATTCATTGTAGCAGGCATTGTGGGTGCTGTATCATCAGGCCTGGTGATTGACAAGTTTAGGGTCCACAAGCTTATTCTCAAGACGTTTGTACCTATTCTCGGTTTCATGTATCTTGCCTTGCTTATGGTTGGTATGTGTAAACAACAAGCTATTGTCTATGTTGTTGTTGTTGACAAAAGGCAAATGTAGTGAAAAGCGACAACTTTGCACCCATTATTGTGATCGCGGCGCTCATGGGCTTTTTTACCTTTTCATTGCTTCCAGTTGCATTGGAATTGAGTGTCGAGAGTAAGTCATATGCATATAGGATCGTGAAAGGTACTCATCATCATAGCAACATTGTAGGTTCGTATCCTGTCTCTGAATCCTTCTCGAGTCCGTTCTTATGGTTGGCGTCCCAAATTTTGGGTTTGGTCTTTGTTGTCTCCATGGATGCACTTCGTGCTGGCGATGATGGCGACCCACCAGAGAATATGCGACGTGCCTTGATTATGGGTACAGGCCTTTCCATGCCCATCATGGTCTTTTCCACCATCTATAACAGCCGTAATAAGCGTATGGAGACTGAAGAACAGCATCAGCAATCCAAATAAGGCGCGCGCACCTATTACTATTTACCACTTTTTTCTCTATATCACATATCCCCAGCGTGCCATTACATACCCACTTTCACGTGTTTATATTAATGCTGTAACAGTAGTAGTAATCTTATTCAAATCATACTGTAAATTGCTAGCCTTATATAATCTTACATGTTTTACAACAACGTCGTCGTGTTACTACGCATTTATTCCTAATGTGTAAAGAATAGCTATGTTTTGCATGTTGTCTGGGTACAAAGATCCTTAAATTTGGAACGATCAAGTTTCTCAAAGAATAGCAGACCCGAGGCACGTTCAATGGATTGGAGATCGACCTTGAAATCAGTCAATGATGTCTTGCTATCAATTTTCTGATTCGGTAGCACAAAAGCAGCCATGGCATAATCGGATCCAACGGGCGTGAGGACAATCTTGTAAAAATGAGTAGGCACAGCGACATTGGGAACATTGCCAAGCATTGGATAAGTGATTTGGTAACCTGGGTTCTTGGATGCAGCATCCTCTTCGTTCAAGTAGTACTTTGTAGCATCATCCATGGCTTGTGGTAAAAAGAGAGGGCCCGTGTAGACGTACACATCGGTGAAATTTTGTGTCAAATCACGTACAAATCCTTCAACGTAGGACCAATCTAAACACATAAAGTCAAGACTTGCATAAAAAACAATCCCTTCCTTGCTTACAATGACGATTGAATCCAATGCCGACTTGGGGTGCCATGTTAGATAACAAAAAGGTCTCATCCATTGCTTCTTGGGTTTGAACAGCATCACCAGCAGGAGCCATATGGCCTCGATCATAGCCACTACGACTATAGTCCTTGAGATGGGCACGGAATAGTTTGGGTAAATCATCATCTTCATGGAAAGACGAGTTGCTACGATCCACATCAGGATGAGCTGTAAGTGATTCAGCGGTCAAATGTTCTCCCACCCAGTGTGGCAAGCGGAGACGACGATCATAAGAAGCGACATATTCCTTGCGCTTGAGTAAATCCACCACAGGTCCTATCGATAGGACGTTACTATCACTCATCCCATTACAAGACATGGTGTTTCTCTTACCTGGATTGCCAAACTGCAAAATGTCCTCACCCGAAGGAGCAGCGGCATCAGCTCGCTTGGACCACTGATGCATAGCCTGATTCACCATTGGACCATGAAGCACGAACCCAACCATGGCCAGGGTTGTCAACATGCCCGTAAGGAAGGCGATCAAATGACCAACGTTTAGAATAGAGCCTTTAGAATAACGCATAAAAGAAAGTAGAAGAATAAAGTGAAAGGAAGGAGAAAGGGGACGTGTATTGTGTACCTGGCGGCGGCACTTTATGGCTGTTGCTGCATGATCAATGCTATACCAATAACAGGATGTGTGCGTGTCCCGTGTTACATTATCTTCATGAGACACAAAATGTATAAACGGTTCGATTTACTTTATCTATGATTCCAATTTCAAAAAGAAGGATACATTAGCCGAAACAAAGGGGATGTTCTGTTTAATAAGTAAGAATGCTTTATACATTGCGTGAGGATAAAGTAAAGAAAAAAGGAAACGTAGGATCACAAAAGGAATAATGAGCAATAGTACATATTGCCCATGACGATGTATATGAGAGATAGAAAGAAAAAGAGAGGTATGTGAAGGTGTATATGTGTGAGTACGTAATGGTTGGTTGGTGGATGCGGTTATGCAGTTGAAAAGAAAAAAGAAGAAGAAAGGAGGTAGTAGATGGGTATTAGTCGTGCTGATGGAATGACCGCGACGTGTACGAGTATTGTGTGTATTGGTTCTCCTCCTCAAAAGTATCTTGATGATGCTTTGCATTCCATGATAGGCGCTCGTTACCTGCCATATACATGGAAGGAACCTTTTGTGCATGGCCAAGGTATCGTTCACGAGCACTACGCTTGACAAGGATAAATGCAAAGACATTGTCGGGAATCAAGCGAATCACAAGACCGATAGGCAATGACAAGAAGCCCACAGCAACGGAGATAAGCCAATGGATGCCATCAATAGGTGTCACTTGGAATGCAGCACCGCCAAAGTTGACAATAAGTGCTTGGCCAGCGACGCAAATAACGAAAATGATGATGAAGAACTTGTTGGCGAACATGTTCTTGAACACATTAAGATTGCTGTCGATGCAACGAGAGCTATACAAACGACGATGATGATGATGATGTTTAGAACGCCTGCATACAAATATAAACAAATAGGTAGGCAACACTTACTTGATTTCGTTAAAGATTTGGCAAAAGACAAACGTGTTGAAAACCACTGTTTGCAAGAGTGGGCTCTCCGTTGGGTATTCAAGCACGTTGCTGTAAAGCAATACAATCATGACGACAATCTGGAAAATGGCTTGTCCAATAATCATTTTCCACATCTTGAACGTGATCAGCGGACTGGAGCGAGCTTCAGGGCTACGTTGCAGGAGTTCGGGAGTGGGTGGATCAGTGGCAAGAGCCAATGCAGCAAAGGTATCCATGATAAGATTGACCCACAGCAGCTGAACAGCTGTGAGTACTGATTTTTGGTTCTCACTGACAACGGATGACAAAAAGGTGAGCACGACAGCGGTGATGTTGACAGTAAGCTGGAATTGCAAGAATTTTTTGACGGAATCATTGACACAGCGACCCCATGCAATAGCCTTGACGATACTTGAAAAGTTGTCATCCATAAGAATGATACTGGATGCTTCTTTGGCCACTTCAGTACCAGCAATACCCATGGAGAAACCAACATCAGCCATCTTGAGAGCAGGACCATCATTGGTACCATCACCGGTAACAGCCACCACATCGCCCAAGTCGCGTAAACGGCTCACAAGAATACGCTTATCTTCAGGGCTGGAACGTGCGAGGACTTGTAGACGTGGCAAAATGGCATCCATCTCTGCAGGTGGCAAGTTACGAAAAACGGGACCTTCCATGACAACGCCACCCGTGGTGTAGATGCCGCATTGTTTGGCAATGCTTTTGGCTGTAGTCAGGTTATCACCTGTCACCATACGAACAAACACGCCTGCTTGTTGACAATCCTTGACAGCTTCTTTGACACCAGGACGCAATGGATCTTCAATACCCACAATGCCAAGCAAAGTCACTTGTGAATCTTGTACCAAGTCATCAAAAGGAACTTCAATTTCATCACCCACTTGGATGCTGTTGGCTGGTGGCCATTGTTCAAAGTCACGATAACCGATACCAATGGTACGCAAGCTGCGAGTGGCATAGCTTTGGATAATGTTTTCAAGGCGTGTGCGATCTTCAGACGTGAGTTTGCGTGTGCGTACATCATGTGGATGGGTGGCGTCACGATAGTTGTTGGGCTGCAAGCTGACAATCGATGAACATCGCTCCAATAAAATCTCTGAAGCACCCTTGATATGAGCACGATAGATGGTGCGACTTGAATCATTGGGATCTTGAATTCGTACAACAGTGGCCATTGCCTTGAGCTCCGAGCTGAAAGGGAAAGCTTGTTCCACAGCATAGGCATTACGGATAGAATCATAGTGCTCTGAACCAATGTCACGAGAGAATTGTAAAAGGGCCGTTTCGGTCTTGTTGCCGACAAAGCAATCTTGGCCGTTTTCATCTTTGCCTTCAAATGCAGTTGAATTGAGAGCAATGGATTGGTTCAACATGTTGAGCACTTGTTTTGGAGCCTTTTCTTCCACTTGATTGATATCATGCAAGTCTTCACGATCACTGGGTGCCTCCTTAAGGAATCGGAATGAAGCGCCAAGCGTGCCAGCCACTACAGCCATCTTGTTTTGCGTCAATGTACCCGTTTTATCAGAGCATACGGTGGTTGCATTGCCCATGGTTTCACATGCTGCGAGTACACGAACGAGGTTGTTGTCCTTGAGCATACGTTGTGTAGCATAAGCGAGAGCTAAATGGTTGTTGTTAGCATCATGCAAGTAAATGAAAAAGTTGTGTTGTACATACCCAGTGTTACAGCAAGTGGTAATCCTTCAGGTACAGCAACGACAACAATGGTGACAACAACAATGAGAATCTTCATAATGTCCATGACAATGTCTGTAGCTTGGTCTGGAACACCATCTTTCCAAGTGACGAAATAGCGGATCAACAAGACAATCAACATGAGTAAACCAGCAGCTGAGCCAAGTTTGGCAATGACTTCGGCGAGGTGGTTTAGCTTTTCTTGCAAAGGAGTGCTTTCAGGTTCTGATCTCAATGCCATCATGGTGCGACCATAGTAAGAGTTGACGCCTACACCTGTAACCATGTATGTGCATACGCCTTCAAGCACCTTGGCACCAGAGATGATGAATGGATCAGGTTTTGATTTGCTTTCAGTGGCTGGCTTGGCTGATTTGTTGATCAAGTCCAATTCAGATGATGATTCCTTGGGAGATGGATGGGCAAGACGATAGCATGTTTCCCAATTTTGCTTTCGTACAGCATCAGATTCACCGGTGGCAGCTGATTCGTCACATTTGAGGTTGTGGCCTTCGATAAAGATACCATCGGCAGCAACAATGTCACCAGGTTCAAGATGCAAAATATCACCGACTTGGATATCATGTACAGAAACCATGCTAATGACACCATCACGTGTGCCCTAATAAAAATGATAGTGTTGTTAGTGAGCAAGCGATGCTACTAATAAAATCATTGCGTAGTTACCTTGACAGCACGATCTTCCTTTTTGGCATTCAATTTGCGGAATTGGCGTTCCTTTTGAAAATCATTGACACTGCCGACAAGGACGACAATGATGACAGCCACAAGAATGGCTACACCTTCCACCCACTTGACACCGGGTATCCGATTGCCCATGGAATCGTATTCAGGCACAGCGATATCTTCATAGAGACCAACACCCAATGAAACAATGGCAGCAATGGTAAGCAAGATCTAGAATAGAAAAGTGTAAGAGTAGGGAACAAGACATAAAAGAGATGATGATACATACAAGAGTTTTATCTTGAAAAGCCATCCACATGAGTTGGAAGATACTCTTTGCCTTTACTTCAGGCAAAACATTATCACCGAAGACAGCCACACGTTGAGGGAAAGCAGTGGCGGGTTCAGTTCTTGTGGCACCTGTGGCTGTACTGAGGACTGTCATTGAGCGATGGCGAATGCGGGGTTCAGGTGGACCTGTATTTGAAGTGGATGTGGCGGGTGGTTGCAAATCATTCAAGGTCACATGATTTTGGATCTTTTGGTTTGGCACAAGGCCTGTTTGCAGATCCACATGCAAACCCTTTGCGACACCTTGCAAACCTCCAAAGGCGTGTAACAAGGGCAGGTTCTTTGGATCCATTAACGCGGATAGTTGCGATGGTACAAATGCAAATAGGTTGCTGGAATCATTGTGTGGCGTCAGGTGATCGTTCAAATCAAGCTTGACATGGTCTGCTCCAATGCTAGAATGCTTCTCTTGCAACGTTGACGGCACAGGCGTTGTTGATGAAATCAATGTGGGATCCTCACTGTGTAGAGCATCTTGGCGAGTCGATAGTGCTGATAGTCGCTGAGCATCGGAATTAGGAGATGGCGACTGATGTTCGTTCGCCATTGTAAAGACAATGCGTGCTATAGATGCAGCAAAGGGGGTGGAGGGAAGAAAAGTGAAAAGAAAGAAAAGAGAGAAAAGTGCTCAAGAAAGAAAACAAGACAAACGTACCGATGCATCTTTTTTAAAGGAGAGAGTGAGGAGAACTCTGCTTGATGATGGTGATGGTTGTATGCTGCAGTTGCATATAGCGCGTGTGTGTGTGTGTGCGTGTGTGTATGGGTGGGTGTGTGGGTGGGTGCGAGTGTGTATATGTGTGTGTGTATGTGTATATGAGCGAATGGAGTGTGATCCCGTCTCTGGGTGCGCGCGTGGATATGCGTGTCGCAGTCTGGCGCTATCACATTAAAGTTGGGGGTTAAAAAAAAGTCATCACTCCCCCCAACGGGATGGATTGACTTGGAGTAAGGTACAGGGGTAAAGTGAAGCAAAGAGGCGCATAACGAACAAAAGAGGAGGTCCCGTTTCTGCCGGATGCACTGGTTGAAAAGAAATTTCTTTGCAGCAAAAAGGCTTTCGCCATCCTTTGTGCATAAAGACCAAAACTAGCTGGGGGTCCGCATGCCGCCAACAGAATTTCGAGACACCCAGGGGAACAAATTCGCCTATGACCCTTTTGATTTATTGTCCTTTTACGGGTAATGGTGATGATGATGACGATGTTGGTTACCGATGCCATTACGGATGCTATTACTACTACTGCTACGATTATCATTCTTCCAAATATGCATCGATAAATATCCATGCCAACAATGTATATTTAGAATACATACAAACAAACAAACAAAGCAAGCATTGTATATACACATATCACATCCTTCTTCATTCCATCACCGCCTAACCACACGGGGCTGCAAAAGACTCACACATGTCTCCTATATTCCTTCCTCCCCCCCCTGCTCCCTTACCTCGTACCTCCTTATTCCCCATCAGCATAAGTCCAACATCCCATCAACATGTTGTTGGCTTATACATAACAAGATAAAGAGACAAAGAGAGACACACAAAGAGAACAAGAGAGACAAAGAGAGAGAAAACTACCACCACCACCACATACACTGCACCTGCTGACACAGTGAGACAACCAAGAATACCATTACACTCTATACTCTTGCTGCTGCATATTTATAGCGCTCACATGTACATCAATTGGCTTGCTCTCTTTTTCCAATCCTTTCCTTTGACTTTTGGTACATCATGGGCGTAGTATGTATCGTCGTCGTATCATCCAAGCCCTTTTAATGCTATCAGTTTTAGAATCATCAATCACACATTCAACATTATAGAATATGCAGGTGATGTTTGAGCACCAACATGGCAATTATTTTTGTATCTTCCCCTCATTTGTATTGCCATTGTTGTAGCAAAACACATTTATGCTACGCGCTGCTGTCATTAAAAGGGAGGACAATGCGTTTAGTGGCGGGTATTTGTTACACTTATTGACATTGAATGGTGACACAGCATTTATCGTGATTCTGTTGGTGTGTGTGATGTATTTGGATTTCATCTTGGGTAAAGCGTTACTAGTAAAAGATGGCCTGTGATATACTACAAGCAACATTCCAGACATGAATACAAACGACGATAATGCTATGGCGCCCGACTTTGGCGTTCTTTTCTACTTTTATTACCTTACATGATGATGGGCCCTACTGTAAGTTGTTGCCATGGTGATGAAGGAATCTTCCATAGCAACGCCACCTGACATTGCACACACATCTCCTTTTTTTACATTAGGTCACTCGCAAACAACGCAAGACACGACAAAACTCAAATGTGTTCGCCATGATTGACCAGCAGCAAATGGAGGAGCTAAAGCAGGCGTTTTACATGATGGATACAAACGGCGACGGGGTTGTCTGTCATGATGATCTGGAGATCATTTTAAAGAACCTGGGTAAACGGAAATGTTAAAATCCATATTGCATAGTGCACTGATAACAGCTGCTGCAGGGCAAAACATGACAAATGACCAAATCCACGATATGCTCAATGAAGCCCCAGGCACCAAAATCAATTTCATGGTGTTCTTGACCATGATGGCTGACAAGCTCACAGGAACGGATCCCGAACATGTGATCACGAGCGCATTTGCAGCCTTTGACGACAGTGGCAAAGGTACCATCAATGCCGATTATTTACGGGATTGCATGACAACAATGGGTGACCGATTTACCGATGAAGAGGTAACCCATCTTTTTTATTATTCCCTTCCCCATTATTGTGAGGCTGTATACTACCCATTTACATAGGTCGACATCATGTTTCAAGGCACGCCCGTGGATGAGCATGGCAACTTTAACTACAAGGACTTTGTGCAGGTTCTCAAGCATGGCGTGTAGTAGCGATATTAAACGCAACCCGCATTGACATTTATACTACCACATACAAGGTGTGATTAAATCGACTTTATATTCTTTTGGTCATAGTGGTATCAGCCATTGAATCAGGAACCCCGTCTTTTATCCCTTGAATATCATCGTTTTGCAAGATGTCAGGGAGGAGAGGTGATCAACCTTTGCAACGTGGACACATAATGATATTTTCTTTTTCATTCTTTGATCGGACCTATTCTTCTTATGATTACCACCATCACCTAGCCATGATGATGATGATGGTGGTTCCCTTTTTCTCTTCCCCCCGTTAACAACCACCGGACCTGGTACATAGCCCACGAGGATCATGATGGTACCTATAACTTTGCTTAAACCGACTTGCATCTTCTTGCACAAATGTTTGGGTCCGCGTTATCCATACTAGAGTAAAATTAAGGAGGCAAGGTTGAATCTTCAAAAGTCTTTCTCCTCCTTCTATCGCACTCTTATGTCTCCCTTGGAAAACTATATCCCCTTTTTGTTTGGCAAACCCCTTCACCATCATCAACGTCACTAGCCCTATCGCCACCCATCCATTCGGTTAAAAAGACAAAGATAGGCAATCACCCTGGATTGTTTTCTTGTAAATGTATGTGTATCATACATACTCACATACCCCGCCGCCATTGATAAACTGCAAATGATCCGCTCAAGGAGCGTCATAAAGGGGGACGAGTTTGTAACATCCACCAGCAGATATTTGGGGGGAGCGACATGCGTCAAAATCCTACCCCAAACCCCAAGAAACCGAGAGGAGAGTGTGTGAGAGAGAGACTCAACCACCATTTGCAATGAAAATATGCATTGATTATGGAAAACGCGAAATTCCTTGAAAAAGAAAACAGAGAATCCTCTTTCCTTCTTGATTGTCCGTGTTGCATTATAATACCTCTGTTGGTGTTAATATGAACCCAGATCTCTAATGCAGCAGCAACATGTTATGTATGTATTCATTGGTACATCGACACAAGCACTGCATTGTGTGTGTGGGTGGGTCCATCGCTTTTTTGTATATAATTACCCGTAAAAAGAAAAACTGTCGCCTCCATCGGCTTAGTGCAGCAGCACTAGCAGATGCTGCATTATCATCATTGTCACCTGCAGTGGGTGTGTAGTAAGAGGATGCATCATCCTTAGAGTAACTTTTTGTTGACGCTGCGCATCCAGCGAGTGTGCAGGTCTATTTGCCAATACATCTCACGAAAAAGCAGAATCAAAATTCACATGTAGTAAGATGATCATGCTCATCATCATCATGTCATCACCCACCCAGCACCCTCTCTTTACATTCATCATCATCAGCCACTTCTTGATCGATTGCATGTTTCATTTCTATGGATTCTTTTCTTATGCATGTTGCCGGTTATCCGGAGGAGCAAGAAGCTTCTTATTCCACTATTGACTATGTTGTACATCCACATTCATTCTTTCTTTTCGGATCGTAAAAGAAAAAAGCCCATCATGCCGATCGCAATTTTACATAAACAAAGCTGTAAGTAACCAGCTCTATAGCCACCACGGAGATTACTATGTACATGATGCGCCTATCTTTTCATGCATGCTCTTTGTTGACGAACGCAATCGGTGATTGCCAGGCTGCATGTTTGTAGCAGTACATCATCATCATCATCTCTATTGCCAAGATGAGTACATAGATCAAGGAGCCATCCTTGTCGATCTCGTGTAAAGCGCCCTCTCTCTGTTGATGTATGTACGTACTAGCAAAACGCCGCCGCTGCTGCTGATGCTGCTACTGCATGCAACATGCATATCGCATGTACGTACTAGATGGTCCATGTGATGATGTTGATGATGATGAGTTGCACAATCCATCCCCCAATGCATGTCTGACACCATACAATCCATGGCCATGGATGTTTCAATCATGGATAATAGTGAGGCCTTGGCAATTATAGTTTTAGAATAGCTTTCAACGTAAGGGTTGTTGCATTGCATTTAATCGGCTCTGCTACAAAGCAGGATCCATCATCATCACCACCACCAGTATTCATGCATCTCTTTAAAGTCCCGTTAAAGCATTTGCTGCACGTAGCAAGCAGCACCCAGCATTTCAAATGCAAGTGTGATTAGATGTTTTACATATATCATGTGATTCCCTTTATTCCTTCATGGGCTGTGTTGGTTTGCATTATCTTCTTGAGCAATGAGGCACAATTTTAGAGATTGGACCCTGTTTTTCTTAAAGGTTACATACTATGACGAGGATTAAGATTGATGAAGTCGTTTCTTTTTCATTCATCTTCTAAATGATTCGATGAAAGGATTTATGGATAGGTAGGAACATCTATTTTTGATACCAAACAAATTCAGGGATATATGAGAAGAGATGAATGAGAACCCGAGGGGTGCTATTAAGAGCCATTTGGATGTCGCTAAAAAGTGGCAGGGCCTAGCCTTGCATCCTTCCCGCGCAAATTTCTTTGTGGGGTCCCTTTGAAATGGGTCCAATGGATACGTGTACTCGCCTGACTATGATGTTCATCTAAGAATAATACCCTTCTCAGCAGCCCATATTAGCATCTTTTATTGTCTCCATCTTTTCTTCTTGTGTGAGAGAAACCATTGTCAAGGTGCAACCGTTTACATCAATGCATTCATATAACCAGCACTTGATCAATTGATAACAAAACAAGATATGGCTATTTATATAGTGATTGGATACAATGAAGCGTGCTCTCTCTCTCTTAATGCTGAGCTGTATGTAATATGGGGGAGCGGGCATGAAATGTCAATCGAGTGAAAGTTGCCACAAGCCACAAGGTCCTTTGGCGGTGACCCCTGGCATTTTTCCCTTTCTTGAACTACTCACTCCACCTTTAATGTTGCGTAATCTCACCTCATTTGGCCGCTGTGCCAACATTGCACGGCCTTTGGCTATCTCTGCAGTATCTCGACCCGTCATTTTCGCACGATACGCCAGCAACGAAGCGATTCGCCACAACCGAGGTTTCCGAGGCGGCGCTGCTGCTGCTGCTGTTGAGCCTGTTGACGATTTGTATGATATTCGCGAAAAGCCGGAATCGCTCTCTTATTTCACTGGCAACTACAAGTACAATGACCTTCTTATTGATCTGGCCGAATTGCATAAGCGCTATGCCGATTGGGAGGGTGATGAGAACGTCGACCAAACAGTTGAAACGTCAGCGTGGAAGTTACGAGAGAAGATGGAACAAATGTTGGCTATTCCCTTGAAGACGTCTCAGTGGCGAAAGATTGTTCATCACCTCAACGCTCTTGCATCTTTACCAAAGCCATTGCCAGAAGCCGTGGAACGTGCCCTGCAACCATACAAACGATATGATGTCAATACTACCGGAGCTGGTGGTGAATCCTCCAACGGTGTCAAGACCCTCGATGAACTTGGACGTGCTTATGCTGCCGGTAGAAGAAAGGAATCCAGTGCCAGATGTTGGGTGGTGGAAGGTGATGGCCAAATTTTGGTGAATGGTGTGCCATTGAACAACTATTTCCAACGACCTATCGATCGTGATCAGGTGACTCTCCCATTGGAAGCAACACAAAGCGTCGAAAAATACAATGTTTGGACCATTGTCAATGGTGGCGGTAGCACAGGTAGAGTGATACAGGAAGGGAAGGGATATAGAATGGAAATGGGAGTGCTCATTCGGATTTCCAGGTCAAGCTGAAGCTATCAAATTGGGTATTGGCCGTGCTCTTTTGATTCACGATCCTGAACTCAAGCCTCTTTTACGTCAAGGTAAGAAAAGGATGATAGATTGGGATTTGGTTATAGATATCATGGATTAACATTGGAATGTAGCTGGTTGTATCACCCGTGATCCAAGAGTTGTTGAACGTAAGAAGGAAGGTCAACGTAAAGCCCGTGCAAGATATACCTGGTAAGTGGAGGATGATATATGCGATGGGGGCGATTATGGAGACTTGGCTGATTCACTAACCTATGACCTTTTTTTCTCTTTTTCAGGGTCAAACGTTAAAGCATTTCTGTCAGCCTGTTGTCATATTATCACTTTTCCCTTGTCTTATAGATCAATCCCTGCAAATAAATCCCACATGTCATGTATAGGAATGAAAGATGGCCTTGTCAGCATAGGATGATACGTATGGAAATCAACATGGGGGGAGGTATTACGAAAGGAACTCTCAACAAAGGGGGAGATAGAGAAGATATCCATTAGACAATGAAAGTACAGCCTTTAATGTGAATATGAATGATGAATAGGATGCATTTTGGATGACCAAAAGGGAGGGATTGCATTATGTCGGTGGCATGTTTGCATGAACCAGGTGGAGCTTGTGTGTGACAAGGGTGGATTGGGAGATTTGCTTTATCAGCACAGCCGGCAATCTCCGTGGGCGGGTTATACCTTCTACTCCTCCTCATGTTTCGTATTGCCCTTAATACCAATCGTACTCGCATTTCCACTACTACTACACCTTTCCTCGTCAAACGTCGACATGCATTCAACCCTTGGTCCGTACGCATGAGCACAGCAGCCGTGTCTTCAAAAACCAATGACACCTCTACTCCCACCACCACCACTACCACGACAACACCTTCCAAGGAGACTGTAGCTGCGCAAACGTCTGCATTTCAAGATCTCCTCGGCTTAACGAGCCCCAGCCCTGATTTGAAAAACACCTTTTACCAGAGACAACTTCCAGAAACATTGGTTCGATTCTCGTCTAATGAGGGCAAACGGCTTTTTCGGTCAGCTATGGAGGCTGGACATGCTGAGGGATTTTTCCCATTGACTGGCAACTTTACCACGCAATCCGAACCTGCTTATTGTGGTCCTAGTTCATGTAAGTTGAAAAGGCATGGTGTATTTAAGGATGCTTTATTAATGACGATGATGGTGGTTATAGTGGCTATGGTATTGAATGCATTGGAAGTGGATCCTAAGCAACGATGGAAAGGAAATTGGCGATGGTATTCAGGTAAGTAGAAAGGGGGATTATCAATGTGTGTATCCAGTATTCATGTATTGAATTTAGATGAGTTACTGGAATGCTGCTCTTCCAAAGAAGAAATGAAAAAGAACGGCATCACCTTTGACAAGTTTGCATGTCTTGCAAAATGCCATAGCGACGTGGTGGTGAAACGTGGCAACGACTTTACACTGGAAGAATTTATACGAGATGTGCAAGATGTGACGATGCGTTCTGACAAGTTTATGGTGATTTCATTCTCGCGCAAAACGCTTGGACAAACAGGCGATGGTCATTTTTCACCTATTGGAGCGTATCACCCAGAATCTGGCATGGTGTTGGTGCTTGATACGGCACGATACAAGTATCCAAGTTATTGGTGCCCAGTGGACGTATTGTATGAATCGATGAAGCCTATTGATAAGGAAACGGGACGACCTCGTGGATACTTTTTGTTGAGCTATGATGCTGAACGACCCCCTGTCAGTTTATGCAAGGTTAAAAATGCAACAGCCAATCAACAGAACGAGGAGAATGATAAAAAGCGACTAGAGCAGCAGCAACAACAGCAACAACAGCAGGCTGTGGAGGAAAAAAGTGTATCATCAGCACCAGCATTGAATTGGACCACTTTGGCAAAGAGCTTTTGTAAGCGAATTCCTGAAAACATGTGGCTCGAGAAACCAAGGACACTGCAACATGTGGTGCAACTCGTATTACGCAACGTGCCACCAGAATATACAATGATCCTTGCCAATCAATCGCTTTTGGCAGCTTCAGCAGCCATGCCAAATGACGCTCGTTCTTATATCGACACTTTACTCCATGACACCACTCAATCCGCTTTATACCCCATTGTCCTCGATGCTCTTTATCCTTCTTCACAAAGACCAACAACCACAACCACAGTCGACCAGTATGCTGCCTTTGCCACCTTGTTCATGTTAGGCTCTCCACGTATGCTTTATACATCCTTGCCGCGTGATCTTCAAGAATCTCTCGATACCTATCGTCAAGACAAGTCCATGTCCGATGTTGTGAAACGAGAAGTGGATCGCATAGGTGTGGAAGTGAGCGAGTTGACAAAGACTTTTTGTACTTGTGGTCCAGGATGGAGTAGCAATATTAGCTCTACTACTACCGGCAACAGCAATGTATCAATATTAGACAAAGAGTGCAGCAGTGCATAATAGAGTTTATGAAACACACACACACACACACATCCATATATCATCATCATCATTTTGAGCATATTAAACATACACACACATGCAAGATTCTTTATCGAAAACTGTCGCAGATTATATACAAATGTGGAGTATTTTGCGCGGCGCGGTGTTAGGAGGGTGATATGTAACAAGAGGAGGGGGGGACACCGCCACCTTTCAATGGTAGTAACTCAGATTTTCAAAGGAACCTAATCTTCAAACGGGTTTCACGAACGACCACTTGATCCGGCCACCGTTCAACAAGCATCTCTAACCAACGACGACGTGTAGAATCCGGTAATGATTCGACCCAAGATGCCACTTGGGTGTGGCGTTGAATAGCAGCCCATCGAACGAGAATTTTATCCTTGAGTACCATCCTTTTTGTGGAACTTGTTTTTTCAGAGGCTGCATCATCCAAGTCAGGGACTTGATTAAGAAAGAGCATGACTTGGGTTTGATCACTCGTTTTTCCTGCACTGGGCCGCACAAAATATCTTTCTTGGGATGCGAGGGATGACCCACTGCTGCCACCAATAAAGCTGGATCGAGTGGAGCTTGCACTACTATTGGGTGATAATTTGGCATTGCTTGTAAGGAACTTGAAGACGATGATATGGTCTTCAGGTAACGCATTATGGAGTGTGAAAAAAAGAGTTTGGCCCCGGTGCCAAGGTGACGTAAAGCACAAACGACGACTTTTTGTTATCTTTGGTGTGGGTGATAACGAGGGTTGTTGTTTTGACGACATGAAAACATTGTCGTCAACAATAGTGGCGCTTTGTGAGTCGTTGTGGTGGTGGTGGTGCATGACAATTTCAAGATAAGGCGGAGAAGGTGGTGGAGGAGGAGGCACGTTTCGGAAGCGTGGTACCGGGCTTGGGTCACGAAATGTCACCCGCTCAACACATTGTCGTCGTTTGGCCTTGACAAGAATTCCTTTCGGTGTTGTCTCTAGCAATGACGAGGAGGATGATCTTAAATACGTTGCTCCAGAGTACTCGGCTGTTGCATTATTATTATTCTCACTTGACAACTGTGGTTTCAACGTTGACGATGACGACGTGGTGCCTGTTAATGTAGTAGCAATTGAATCATTATCTTGTTGACGTTCTTGTTTCAATCCTTGTTGTGTTGTAGTGGGCGGTCTCATCCAACTCTTGAGACTCTTCCATAATGTTTGCTTGAATGCCGAAGGTGCAGCTGTTGATGCGACAGCTATAGCTCCTAGAGAAAGAAAGGATCGTCCACTCTTGGCACTTGTTTCACTTTTCGAGCTATATACGGAGGCTGCATATGCCATCGCTTAAAATGTGAAAGAGGAAAAAGAAAGAAAAAAGAGAGACAAATGTTGGGGTAACCTATTAAAAAAAGATGTGGTAGTAGATGCACACACATACACCGCCACTTGAAAGAAGAAAAAAGCGGGTTTTGCAGTTGTGTGTGTGTTTATTGTTTGGAATACGCAAAAAAAGGGACATGGTTTGGGGGTAAAAAGTGCAAGGCGGATGTAAATGGTGGGGGGTGGGGTAATTGGAAACAGGAAATGATTACTTAGTCTGATGATTAAAATGATGACGATATAATGGATCAAGATGGAAGTTGTCTGTTACAGAGTCCTTCCAAGGTAGGTTGAGTGACCATCCGAGCATTGGGGTCATAGAGCATGGTATACGTCAGGATCCACTGCAACCGGTGTATCATCCTATTCCATTTCCAAGTCAGTCTTTTTGTTTGTATACAAGCATGTGGCCCATCCTATCTCCATTTTCTCTCTCTCTTTTTGTCCTTTCTCACACATTCACACGCACACACTTACCGTGATCGTAATTGCCACCAACGCAAAGTGCTATTGCTTTCTGCTGCTCCAAGTGTACGGAAGCCTCCCCAAAAACCAAGGCCATACACGTTGCCATGGCGATGACCATACATTTGTACCCATTGACCTAGCCGTTGTCGTTGGGCTGCCAAAATGGGCGTGTGAAGTGCCTGTGCTACTCGTTCGGTGTAAATGGGTAATAGCAGGTACTCTTTGATGGAAAAGGGACGATGGGATGGCATTGTCAAAGGAGAAAGACGTAAATGAACAATAAAAGTGGCAGGAATGGCCACCAACCAGTGGTAGCCGAGACCGCGTAAAGCTGTAATACGCATTGTGTGAGTGAAATTGTTTCAAGTATACGCTACATGTTTATCATCTTACATGTGAATGTATCAAGCATACTGATCCTGCCAGTACGTTTCTTGTCAAAATAGGCCACTCTTTGGCACATGGCATCATTGTCTTGCTTTTCACTTTCCTTGCATGAGGTCTCATGGTCCATGTGTGTCATTGTTTTGCTGCTGCAGTTGGCGTCTTTATGCTCATTGTTGCTTTCCGATGGTGAAATCTCCTCCTTGTTATCGGTGGTATCGAGGATTTTGTCATCTTGCTTGGCAATAACGGCAGCAGCAGCATCCGTGGACGATGGCAATTCTTGTGTTACTAGTAAGGGCTGGTGCTCTTCTTGATCCTCTTTGACAACAGCAGTAGCGGGATCAGCGGATGATGGTTCTTGGACCATTGATAATAATGGTTGCTGCTCTTCTATCTTTGGGCTTTCGGAAACTTGATCATTCATGATAGGCTCCTCTTCTTGGTTCTCCTTTATGGGCGTTTCTTCCTCATTCACTGATGCCAAGGGCGATGGTGATGGTGGTTGCTCTTCTTCAGGAGCGGTCGTAGATGCCTTTTGATCTTTGGAAAGCGGCCCCTGTGTCAAGGCATGCTCCTCTTTTTGAATGGCCAAAGCGTCATTTTCAGCTACGGATGATGTTTCTTTCTCAAGAGGATGTTGCTGCTCTTCTACCTGGATATGGCTTGATGTATCCTCATGCTTGTTATTTGATGATCCATCATTACTGCTGCTAATCACATATGGTTCTTGCCCCTGGGTCTGTGCGGGTTTTGTTGACGCTGATTGGACTTTTTCCTCCTGTTGGGTGGTCAAGGCTTCTTCTTTTTGGTATGGTTTCTCCTCCTCTTGTGCTACTGGCTCCTGAATAGCTTGTTCCAAAGGTGCATTCTCCTTGTTGACTTGCTCCTCTTGTTGATTCTCCTTGATATCGATCATCTGTTGCTCGTTTTCTTTGGTGTGGGGTGCTATCATTGATTCCTTAGAATCATCAACAATTGCATCCTTCGTCGTTGCTGGTGAAGATGGCTGTTCCTGCTGGTGAGCACTGTTGGTTGGCAATTCAAACGATGTTGATGGTGTGGAATCTGAAGGCGAGACAATGATTTGAGGTTGTTTGTAAGATGCATGATCATTCTTTCTTAACGAAAGCTCATCAACAACGGCATCATCTACCCTTCTATCAATGCTGTAGCAGCTGTTGGGTGGCGAGGTGGTGGCACTCGTGGGAGATATTGGGGGAGTCAATTCTGGGATAGATGTTGTTGTTATTGGTTTGCGTGATTGTTTGGTATCGGAAACGCCATATTCCTCCGCTGCTGTTGGAGTGGGCTGCCGGTCAACGTGGTTGCTTTGTCCATCTTCTATTTTGTATAACATGCCGATCAGCATTCAAGGTCACACACAACTCCTCTTTTTACCCCAAGGGGAGGGTGGTAACAAAAAGAATTACCTTGTTGCTCAGCTGCTGTTGTCTTATCATCGCTACTGAATTTGCTGTCCTTTGTATTATGCGAAGGCGTGTCATCATTATCATCATGATCATGTAAGCTGTCGTGGCCACCTGATGATGTTGAGATGGTTGTTGTTGTGCGGAAACTACTCGTGCTGGTCATGTTGGCGACATCCAATGAAGAAAGATTTTCATTAAGAGTATCAATATCATGCTCATCACGATGACGTCCCATGCGCTAATATCAATAGATTGATTAGATTCCATGTCATTGTTTGTGTACTTTGAGATTGTGATGTGGCAAGTGAGGAGAAGAACTAGGGGAGCAGCAAGTTGAAGCAAGGGGATGTGGTGTGTGTGTGTGTGTGTGTGTGAGCAAACACCACATGAGTACGGATAGCCTACCTTGAAGAAGCGGCGTACTTTTTTTGCACGCTTACTCAATCCTCTTTTCAAAGAGCGTGAATGGTGGTCTTTTTCATTTTCATCCACTGACATGGCTGGCTCGGATGAAGAAGACGCTGTCGTGTAAGATGACTTTTTTCGTTCCGACAGGGACGTCCTTGATGAATTATTGGGCGGTGGGACTGAAAAGAAGGGCATGATAATTGATAATGTTGTTTATGTATCCCACACGTAAATGATCGAAAATAAGAGGGAGAGAAGGCAAGATACAAGAGAAAGAGGAAGGAAAATAGGGAAAAGAAAGGGTGGAAAAACAGAAAGATAGGTTCAACGGCATAAGAAAAAGAACAGCATATATCGACCTCTCTCATCGAATGATGTCATTGGACCAACTTTAACCCGCATCCTTGTTCAGCGAATCAAAGCGATCGGGGGATCAAGTGCAAAAGGGAAAAAAAGGAAACAAGTTAAATCCACGCAGTGGCGTGAGTAGTAGACAGAACCAACCCAAAAGAGCGTAAGGGCCGTTCGCACTGCTCATGTGGCAATCTATATTTTATAAGCTAGTGGGTGTTGTAAATAGTCGACGGCATGCTGCAGTGTAATGTCTCACGCAACAAAACACAACATTTGTGTGCATGACACCCCTTGCATAGATAACAGTCATCACCCCGCTTGACCACACAAGGAAAGCATGGCGTGATCAAAGAGCGTATACCATGCATATGGAGAAAAGAATATGGGCACGGGCCATGTTTTAGAATACAGCTTCTTTAACATTGGCCAGATCCCTTGTGCTACTTGTACGATGATCAATGGAGCTACATACTACTACCTAACAATAGGCATCATGCAACGTATGTAACGTGATGATTGTATGGATTCATTTTTGTGATAGCTATACCATGGCCAACTTTATCATGATCAAATTGCCCGTCACCAGAACGGAGATCTAGATTACTTTGACGCCCATGTTGTACAAGTTTGACTTTGTGGTGGATGTGGGCCGATGCCGAGGTGTACAGATTACCCACGCCACTTTGGCGTTAACATGGTTGATCCACATAGGCCCCAATTATCCGATCTCATTGTTTCAATCATCCAAAATAGGGCATTCACCAATAATAGCATTTCGCTTTCATTATGTATTGTAAAAGACATCTACTTTACATCGATAGAGCAATGACAGTAATGATTGTGCCGAGCGGGATGGTGATCCGAACCGAATGTCATGCATCAATTTACACTCCACGCGTATCTTGTACCTTCTTTGATTTCTTTTACAACATCAAAGGACCAAGCGAATGTGCGTATCCATGGGCTTTATTCCAACCCTGCGAATCAGAGTTGTTCCATGTGCTGATCTTTGTGGTCATTCATAGCTCCCCATCCCTACTCTCATTGTCGTGGTCGTCATTGTGAGATTGGACTCTTGTGATGAAGTAAGCTTATTCACATAACAGTACATGTTTGATACATCAACAATGCTCATACGTATGGATTTCTATCTATGTAGCTACGTGACGTGATGGATCCCCACATTGGCAATATGATACTTCTGGAGCTGGTGAACTTGACATGATGCAAGTAACCAGGGCCGTGGTTATGGTATATGGTTGTGCAGTTGTTTGAAGGAATGCGATAGGGTAATAACATATGCTTTGTATAGAGAGATTGCAACTACCAATCACTTTACATCAAAAGCCTTCATGGGTCTTGTACGGACTTGTATCAATCGCAGAGAGCAAGATATGGGACGCGAGATGCGAGCATCTAAGGATTGTCATGATGAACAAAGTCGGCTTTGGCTAGGAGGGGCTCAAATGAATCGACGCCTAATGGGTGGCTTTTGCCATTTCTGGTGGGAACAATTCATAGAGTTGGAAGCTTGCTTGATTCCATTGAGAGGTAACTCATATCAATAAAATGAAGAGATTGTGGCTATATTGACCTAGATGGGGTTTAGGCTCTCAAGAGGATTTTAGTGTTCATAAAGAAGGAGCTGGGAGAGAGGCGTTAAACAATTATCAAGGTAAATTGGCGGTAAGATGGTTATGATGCTATATGGGGCTAATTGCATTTTTCGGTATTGATGATCCAGAACTTAAATTGATCTCTGCACCAAGACCATCCACATTACAACAAAGAACCTACATACCACGCATTGATACGATTGCATATATACCAGCCACCTTCCAACATCCATCGATTCGCGACTTGAAGAAGATGGCCAAATCGGCACCTTTTTACGAGACCTGGATGAAGCAGCTCAACACTGGTACACCGAGACTGCTTGTCATTTTCACTTTGTCAGGAAGCTGAAGTTGGATGATGATCCAGTCGCCTTATATCACTTTTCCTACACCTTTTCTAAGCAGCAGAGCATGATACGGCATTGCCATTGTAGAAGAGGATTTCCAAGGCCATCACCATTTCGATCATGATACTCATCATCAGCTACAGCAACAACTAGCCTACCACTATGTAGCTATTCTTTTTATTCATGCCATCATGTATATATATATAAGCTCAACCAATACGAGAAAAGATACTTTATATAAATTGATGCCATGTTTGTAAACAAGATTGTTGCATCCAAGAAGCTCAAAAAATTGATGATCTCTTTTTGGAAATGGGTTTCCATGGCAACTGCACTACTGGTCATTGAATAGCTAACTACTACTATGTACCCTGCTCATCCTAAAAGTTCATCCATATCAATAGCTTTGTGTACCAGGGGGATCCAAGGAGTAAGTTGACATTTCCGGGTACCTATATTTTCGAATGCAATGTATTGTAGAGTGACATGCTATCGTAGAAAAGCAAGCATGATTACGAATTATTACCGAAAAAGGCAACAAATAGAGGATTGACGTGAGTGTCATGTGGCTGAGTGCACTTGTTGGAAAAAGTATACCCTGACGGTATCCAGCGGAAAGGCGTCAGCATTCGTCAGCATGTGCACCTCTGACACTGAAATAGCACCTAGTTTTGGAAGCACTTTTACTCATATGCCGTTACACATTACCTTCTGGTTGGTCCTGTTCATCTTGCTTACCATACTTTTACGCCGCCACAAATGCATTGATCGGCTACGTATCCATGCAACATGTGCGACGCTCTTGAAATCTAGATATGACTGCCTACTACATATCCCGTACTCCTCTCCCTATATGCATGCAGCCCGTCCACCAAACGGAAAATTGAAGTACATAGACCGAACCCTGGTAACGGATATCAGATCGGGGAGACTTTGCCGATTCCCACTTGTATAAAACATAAAAACATTGGATCATTTGTTTCCTTGTGGATCACTTTTGACAATGACTATAGCAACAACTAGCAGCGACAACAGCTCAATAATAGAAAGGCAAACATCCAATGGATCATCAAGCATTGAGACCAATGGTACCGCCGTGGGTGCTTACCAGGAACGGATCACCACATCACCATCACCACCACTAACACAGGCACCACCTGCCAACAAGCATCCAAAGAATACGCTCATAGAAAAAACCATGCAATCATTACCGACGCTGTCATCATCACCATGGATGGACAAGGTGCAGCGTGGATTTGTATACGCTGGGTTATTCATGGGCATATTTGCCATCATTGTCCAATCCTCGATTGTGGCCCCCGCCATGTCAAAGATCGCTACAGAGATGCATGATATTGGAAATCAAACATGGGTAGCCGTAGCCTATTTCTTGGGATTGAATTGCGCACAAGCAATAGCTGGAAAGGTAAAGCAGTGAACAGTTGCACTACCACACACACGATGGAAGCTAAAGATCATCATGGCCTATATGTGTACTGTAGTTTGTGGATATTTTCGGTCGTAAACCTATCATGCTGTTTGGCCAGTCATTTTTCAGTATTGGATCTTTGATTTGTGCATTGACTCCTAACATGGATGGTTTGATTGCTGGTCGAGCCATTAGCGGCTTTGGTGGTGGTTCTGTCATCTCGCTTGCCTTTGTCATTGCAGCCGATATTACACCCTTGGAACATCGACCACGTATCAACTCTGCTCTTAGGTATGTAAAGAAATCTTGTAAGAACGAGTTTCCATTGACAACATGATACTATGCATAGCATGGTTTATGGACTTGCAGCCATGACAGGCCCGCTAATGGGTAAGACATACACGTTATTATCACACGCTTTCGCTATTTACTAAAACAAAGATGCATAGGTGGTGCATTTGTTGACCAAGTGACTTATCGCTGGGTAAGTCTAAATGATTCACAACGATGATCAACAACACCTCTTCTTACAAAGGATATAGGATTTCTGGTTAAACTTGATTCTTGGATGTACCTCGTTGGTTATCATGGCCGTTTTCTTCAAAGAGTCGAATGCCACGCTGACAAGAGATGAGCCATTGTGGGCCAAGATCAAACGTATCGATGGGCTTGGTGTTATTCTTAGTGCTGGCACAATCACGTGTATTCTATGTGCGCTCAACTGGGGTCCCATGGTAAGAAAAATAGTCGTGTAATGCTATCATCGGATTAATGATTCACATTAGCATGGTTGGGGAGATGGTCATACCATTGGTGCTTTTGTTGCTACCGGCGTATCACTTTTAGCGTTAATCATCGTTGAAATGAAGGTGGCTAAGGAACCAGTAAGTTACCTTCTTTCAAATCATTACACTCTTTTTTAATTGTGCTGACGTTATTGTATCCCGCTATAGATCTTCCCACCCCAGCTATTAAAGAATCCCAAGGTGTCTATGCTCTACCTCTACATGTGGTGTCTAGGGTTCGGCTTTGTTGGGATCATGTTTTTTGGCCCGATTACATATCAATCGGTCTTTGGAAGCGACAGCACAATGTCTAGCGTGCGACTTATTCCGTACTTTGGTAAGAGAAATGCATACGTCGAAATTGTAGACATCTAAAAGATCTCTGTACACCAGGTGCTCTTATTATCGGAGCCTTGACTTGTGGTCAGCTATTGCAATGGTTTCCTTATCCCAAGGTGTACATGATCATCGCAGGCACCTTTGTGACGCTTGGGTTCAGCCTTTTCCAGCTGACAAATGAAAAATCAAATTGGGGCCATCAAGCGTGTTTCTTCATATTATCAGGTATACGTGAAGCATAGCGAAGCATTCATAACACAAATCCACTAAACGTTGTTACTCCAGGCTTTGGGTTTGGATTTTCTCAACAAAATGTAATCTTGACCGCTCAAAGCATCGCAGGGAAACAGTACTTAGCAATCGCTACAACATTAGTAAGTTGAATACGTGATCGTATAACCAAGCTTCTAACAATTGTATGATAGGTCAATTTCTTCTTACTTCTTGCTTCACCAATGGGACTTGCAAGTATGTACATACGCGTGGGATACAGTATAGCAGGGCGATTACTAATTACACGCATGCTATTCGATAGTTTATGAAGCTGTGTTTGCCGCTTTCCGCTATGCACAATTTGATGGATTGCCATCCGATGTACTTGAAGTAGCTCAAGAATACAATGCACTTGAAAACTACCTATACATTCGAAATGTGCCAGCTGAATACCAACCACCCCTTGTTCATGCGTATATGGAAGCAGTGCGCAATGTGGTAAGTCTTTTTTGTCATTAAAGCCATCCTCAACTCATTGGCGGTATGTAGTTCATTTTCCCTGCAGTCGCTGGTGGTATTATCCTTATCATAGCACTCCTATCACCCAACGTACGCCTTGGTGGTGGTCATCCAACAACAGCAGCAAAAGGCATCAAGAAGGATGAAGAAGCATCTCACTTTTGCGATAAAAAGTAGGAATGTAATAAAGACATTGGATATCAATGGATGACCTTTTTTATTGTACTATAAAGGCTATATTAAATGAGCTGCAAAACACTCTGATCTAGAGAAGGGCAATCACAAAGAGCTAAACCAAATGTCATATCAAGTACTGTAAAAGGGGCACGTGATGCTGTGCCTAAATGTCAAGATGGAATCTTAATCTGGATCCACTTACTCTTCTCTTTTCCATGCAGCACCACCCAGCATACCAAGAAGACACACAAAAGCAATCCAAAAAACGACGTCGGCTGAATGAGTCATCACCTTCACCAACCACGATCGACACCCAATGTCTATTTTGCAACATAGCGATCGAGCGCAGCAGCAGGGAGGAATTCTTGGACCACATGGAGCAATGCCTCACTCGATTGACAGAGGGGAACCAGATCCGCCGCAACAAGCATCGATCAGGCGCATTCAGTAAAATGACGACGTGTCCTGCGTGCAACGAAGATAGCCCGTTTGATTTCAAGAGTATGAGGGATAAGGCACGGCACCTTAAGCAATGTCTCGTTTCCAATGGCACGACACTTTCTAACGTGATGGATGCACGTGACATCGGCCATGCACAGAGTACTACACCTATTGATCTATCATCACCATCACCACCACCACTATCTATTCACCAAGGCAACAATAATATTGATCTCACAATCATCGACGACGACGACGATCCCTTTTCATCACAACCACGATTGGAAGACTTTGATGTGGCAAACAATAAGAGAAGAGACAGCTTATTATCAGACGAATCACCATCACCATCATATACCCATGCTGATAGTATTATTGACAACAGCCAACTAGACAACATTGATCTTACATTACTCGATGATTCTCCTCTTGTCGATATTTGGTCACAGCGGCAAGGATCGGTTAACGGCGATATGATTGAAGAAGATGAAGCAGGCGACAACAACAACCCATCATTATCTCCCTCTCCTTGTTCTCGGCAATTGGATGATGACAACACCCATGAGAGCAGTGATCAGCAGCAGTATTCGCCTATGGAAGATGAATGTTTGGCTCGGTTATTATTGGATCGGCTGTGCCTTGAGCAACAATTTACACCATCACCTTTCTTCACACAACTCAAATCAAGCGCAACTGGTATATCCAACAGCGTGGAAGCACGTCGACGCAGTCTGGATGTATTTGAAAAAGTATTCTTCAATCAGCAACTCAACCTTCTTGAGTTATCCACCAAGGACCAATCGGCTTTGATGCAAGATACCCACCACTGCTTAAGCCAACCACAGGCGCAGTTTCTTTACAATGTCATCAAGGAAATGCAAGCAAGTACAATCATCATCATGGTGCACATTCCTTCAATGTTGTTTAATTAACAGCTATCTTCTCTAGACACCCGAATGCACTGCCGGGATCACTTGGGTGTACGACGATTATTCCCTTGATGGAAATACCATTATGGCCATTGAACGATTGACTGAATTGGATTCCAGATTGGCACGCGTTTTATGTTTGTTGGATATTGCAAGCCATCATCCCATGTTTGCTCGCAAGCAAGATGTAAGTGAGAGTTTTGCCCTCATGACTTACATTTAACTTACCATGATTTCAAAAGGTTATCCAACGCCGTGGGACACAGACTTCTGTGGATGATGATGATGATGATGATAATTCGGTCATTGCCGTCGATCTCACTGGAAACTCGGATCATTCGCTCGATGAGATAATACTATCTTCTGCATCCGACATTGTGGAACTGGATTTTGATGATGAAACGAGCATTCAAAGCCATTCAGATGTCGCACAAACACACAAAGTGGAGGATGAATCAGATGCCAAGGATGGTGAACACCGTAGCAGCGACTCATCGACGTCCAAGCAACAAAAGGAGGATTCATGCTCCATTGGATTTAATACTCCGCCGAATGTTCATGCCAAAGACAACCGTCTCATTGACAACGAAGAGGATGAGGATACGAATTATCATTGCGACAATCTCACAAACAGAGAATTGAATGTAAGTATCATAATGGGATTCTACATCAAGATCTGATTCTTTTGTAAAGTTCTTTGCAGATGCATATGGCCTTGAAAGTGGGATGCGTAAGCAAACCATTGCATTGTTGAATCGAATATGGAAAGAACGTGCGCATCAAGTGGGTGGCGACGATGATGGGGATGATGAGCCAAGATCTGCGGATGGATCATCCAAGGCAGTGGAACTGATACGGCATTTAAAATCTCGAAAAGATATCTGGAACAAGATACTGCGGTATGAGGTAAGTATGGTTAGATACAACTTTGATCCAATCATGATGCTAACATCTGCTGTGCCAATATCAGTGTGTGGACCTGGATGATTTCGATGGCAGCAGCGAAGACTTTACTTGCGATCAAATACGAAAAGAGCTAGATTATCATGTACGTATCAACAACATTATGTTTATTGTTGTATCATAGATCACTAAAACGACCCATTGCTATAGGGATTCTTGAAAAAGTCTAAATAAACGTATCAGATGAAACATCACGCAGCACTGGCATTGTCGGGCTATGTAAGCTTGGCTGGCTTTTGATTATCTCACACCCAGTTTCGTTCCCTTAAAGTTGCTGCGCTACTCTTTCTTTCTTTCTTGACAAACCATGGACGTAAGTTATAGTTGGATCCATCGCCTTGAATCTTTTGAGCTCAATTGTGTTTACTAGATTGAGCCACACGAGGAGACAGCTAAAAAGGACGTGTCAGCACCCGATCTTGGAGGCAATGGGAACAAATCACCTACACGTCGCAACAGGTCGAGTCGTCGAAAGTCGTCCTCCACCACTATGGATGATTCAACGCACAAAGAGACACCATCAAAGGCACAAGGATCTCGTAACAACACAACACGACACAAATCCAAAAAGCCTGCACCAGCGGCCAAGTCAAAGCAAAAGGATGACACCGAGCATGCTGCATTAAACGCCAATACAGCGGATGATGTGGATGACGCTGAAGATAAGAAGAAACGTAGCAGCCAAAAGAAAGAGAAGGTCGACAACAAACAGCCACAACCCAAATCATCATCATCATCGTCAGCAGCAGCACTAGTAGTAGACGCGTCCAATAATCAACCATCAGAGCCTGTCAATCAAAAGGACACGACAAAGAAGAAGCATAGGAAACGTCGTTCAAGCAAGAAAGATAAGGATGACCACCAAGCAGCCACGAATGTACCAGAAAGCACATTATCAAATGATTCGTCACATGCGCAACAACAACAACAGCAACAGCAACCATCCTCCACAACAACAGAGCAACCAGCAAAGACACGACAGCGTAAAAAGAAAAAGAAAAGCAAAGAAGCAGGATCAACAGACGCGTCAAAACAACCAGAGGATTCGACCCTGTTACCATCCAATGATTCATCATCCCATGTACAGCAGCAACAACAACAACAACAACAACCATCATCCTCCACAACAAAATCAACAAAGCCAAAGAAGAAGAAGACCACCAAGGAACCAGCACCTGACGCACCTAAGCATCCAGAGGATTCAAAGCCCAAAGAAAAGGAATCAGCGGGTGATGAAAAGAAGAGCAAAAAGAATCGAGATAAGCGCACCAAAAAGCCTGATACCCGATCATCACAAAAGTTCAGTCCTTCATTTATTGGTGGTAATCGTCGTCGTCTTGCCAATGGCGTGGAAATCACTGTTTATCCCCGTGGCAATGGTGCATGGAGACAACCAAAGCCTGTAGTGGATGCGCCTGTTTTCATATCCAATAGCGTCGAGGATTTGGATATCCATTTTGCCAACGATGTTCCTCCTGCTGCCAAAGCCCCTCCAAAGATGCGTTCAGATACTCAGCATGATCGTGTATTAAGCGAGGTGACCATCAAATTACCCAAAAAGAGCGATAAATCGTCATCAGCCAGTAAGTTGGATCTCTCGTTTTTGATGATGATGATGATGACATGAGCTAATATGGATCATGATAGATGTCACTTCCCCACCAGCATATTGTCACCCCGATGATCGTAATCCACGCAAGAAACGACTCATGTTCAATGCCTATCCCAGTCCTGAATCAATGCAAGAAGAAATCCAAAAAGGCACCTTGATCCGTGGTATCATACGTATCAGCAAAGCACATACATCAGAGGCCTATGTTGTTCCAGACACGCTTGATCATGATATTTTCATCCTTGGACGTCGACAACGCAATCGAGCATTGGAAGGAGACGTTGTGGCGGTGCGTTTATTGGATGTGGATAAGATCTGGGAACGCAAAAAGGAAGAGGTCAGAAAGAAAAAGGAAGAATCAGCCAAAGAGAAAGCAGCAGCAGCAGCAGCAGCAACCAATGGCAAGGACGCCGAGGAAGATGCATTATCCGATAATGATGATGACGAAGAAGAGGAAGATCAGACCCATGATGAAGAAGAGGAGGAGTATGATGAGGATAAGAACAAGCCGAAATATTGTGGTGAAGTGGTTGGCATTTTGGATCGTGCTCCTCATGATGCCATTGCTGGGTAAGTCCATAGGGTGGGATATTTGGTGCATATCTAACTTGTAATATTATTAGTATCCTCAAAGTGGAACGTCCCAACGCCAATGCACCCAAAGTGAATGAGGATGACAAGTCAAAGGAACCACCCCGACTCGTTTGGTTCAAGCCAACGGATAAGCGTGTGCCTCTCATTGCGATCCCTTTTTCATCCGCACCTGAGGATCTGTTGGAAAAAGAGGAGCAATATACAAGCATGATTATGACGGTAAGATGGGTATATATATATATATATATCACTTCGATATGGATCGACTCATAGCTTGTCTTTAGGCCAAGATTGTCAAATGGCCCATTGATGCCGTTCATCCATTTGGACATATCATCAGCACATTGGGAATGGTTGGCAGTATCGATACAGAAGCCAAGGCGATTCTCGCTGATTGTGGCGTCAAGGATCTTCAGTTTACCAATGCGATTGTAAGAAGCTTGCCAAAGACACCTTGGAAGATACCCAACAAGGAATACAAGGTTAGACGCGATTTAAGATCTGAACGTATCTTTACGATCGACCCTGCAACGGCCAAAGGTATGGACCAATTGAGTAAAGGATGAGGATTAGTTTATTGATGAAATTGTGCTTAGATTTGGATGATGCTGTACATGTCAAAGAGTTGGATGATGGCAATTTTGAAGTTGGCGTCCATATTGCCGATGTATCATTTTTTGTCAGGGAGCGTACTGCACTTGATGGAGAAGCCCGTGAACGAGGAACAAGTACCTATCTCGTGGATAGAGTCATTCCTATGCTTCCATCCTTGCTTTGTGAAGAACTTTGCAGCTTGAATCCAGGAATTGAAAGGTAACGTATCAAGTGTGAATGCAGGAATGGTGGCATCAAGCAAGAAGCTTATGGAGTATGTGTTGCCAATAGGTTGGCTTTCTCTGTTATATGGAAAATGGATCCGACGGGTGTTATTCTTGATACTTGGTTTGGAAGAACCATCATCAAGTAAGTGAATTTGTCACCGTGTTCATATGTCAACATGCCTAACTTCATAATCAGGTCATGTGCCAAATTAGCCTATGATGATGCTCAATGTGTGATCGAGGGCAAGCCACTTCCAGAAACAGCCAATGTGCATGAGCACCCACGTAAAGGCGTAGAGCAATCAATTCTCAACCTATACTCGTTGTCAAAGCATATGCGTAAACGGAGATTTGAAAGTGGTGCTTTATCCATGAACTCGGTGCGTCTTTCATTCAAGCTTAATGAACAAGGGGAACCAGAGGACGTATGGGTATACGAGCTCAAGGAATCGAATCGACTTATCGAAGAATTCATGCTTCGTGCCAACATGAGTGTCGCCGAAAAGATTTGCAGCCAATTCCCCAACGAAGCACTTTTGCGACGTCATGCACCACCTATTGAACGAAGACTGGTACGTGATCTCTCTAACATAGTGCATGGATCAATGTTCTAATTCTATGCGTGTGTGTTTTATAGGATGAGTTTATCAAGCATTCAGAGAATTTGGGTTACAAGCTAGATGGTAGCAGTGCTGGCAACTTGCAAGCATCCTTTAATGCCATTGAGTCTCAAGAAGTCAAGGATGTTTTGATCACGTTGGCCATCAAGCCTATGCAACGAGCCAAATACTTTTGTACGGGTGCCATGGATATTTCAAAGTACAACCATTACGCTCTCAACGTACCTTTGTACACCCATTTCACCTCTCCTATCCGTCGTTATGCTGATGTCATTGTACATCGTCAATTGAATGCAGCATTAAAGAATGCAGGTGAGTCAAATAGAATACGTCTTGGAAAGAAATACTCAACTTCTTTTTTGCTTGTTAGATACTTCTGGATATGATGACCAAGAGGCTCAGCAGATAGCACTTGAATGCAACCGTAATCGTGACGCAGCCAAGAACGCCCAAGACATGAGCTCACAATTGTACTTGGCCCATTACCTTCACAAGTTGCAAAAGACCAAAGGTGCTATTATCAGATCAGCTGTGGTGGTTCAAGTGTACAGTGAAGCTGTCGATATCATTGTACCAGAATACGGGATTGAGAAACGTATTCATGTGGATTCGTTGCCTGTTCATCAACACAAGTTCAACACCAATGACATGTCCTTGCTGCTCTATTGGAAGAAAGGTGTACCTGTACCCACGCATGAAACGGAGAACAATGTGCAAATCGCTAGTGAAGATGAGAATGATAGCGACAATGATTCATGCCATGGTATTCCTATTGCGAAGGCATCTGAAGTCGCACACACCCCCAGTCAATGCTTGGATAAGGAACAAGGAACACAGCTGTTCAAGGTGTTTACTAAATTCGATGTGCTTATTCAAGCCAATGTGGTCAAGTCTCCCCCCATCATCAACGTTTATCTCGTCAACCCCTTCGCCACCATGCCATCCACATAGAATTCATTTTTCTTTTTCACGCACTAAAAATTGTTTTATATGCATCCAATAGCTTGTATGTCTGAAATTTTGTCTCTATCTCTTTTGTGTCATAGGTCGTTTGGATCAAAGAAGGTATGCTCGTCTTCACTTTGGTAGGATATTCGGATGTCAAGTCGTCATAGATCAATTCGACTCGGATCGTCGTGTTGTTGTTGTCCTTGTCCTCCTTGTCCTGCTCCACGTCGATTTTTTCTGCTAGGATGATATGATCTTTCGCCTTTCTCTCAGCAGAAATGCCAACAAAGGAGGCTCGCTCTTTGCAATAGACGCCGAGTTCTTCCACCTGCTCTCGTCTCGATACATACGCAAGTAAAAACACATGAAGTATCCGTAATAAAGCCTGGAAAAGAGTAAATGAGTATTTGAAGCCTCCCAAGTATAAGGAAAACTTACCTCCATATCATGTGGCAGGAATGTATCCACCATCTCTTGCACTGGAATGAAGAAAGGAATTGTATGCTGGGCGACTGAGATAGAATTGTATTTCATGGATGCAGGATTGCTCAAAAGAAGGTAATAAGGCTCGTAGTACTTGGCTGCATGATAATAGCATGGTGAGTTATAAGGTAGTAGATGATAAGCTTGAAGGATGTACCTTTGTAATATGTCTCAAGCCGGATACCCGTATTCCCTTGAAATTGAAAGGTGGTGCGTCCAGCCAAACGATAATAGCCCACTATTTCTTGTACACATCGTGCCGACGACACTGCCATCCATTGCTCGAGGATCTGTAAACCATGCATATCAATATCAATTCGATTGACTTGCTCGTTATCCTTCACTCACCTGTTGTTGAATTTGCGTCATTTGAGAAGCCTTGTAACGCGTCGTATCTGTTCAATAACAAAGGGCATTGGTCATCCAAAACACGGTATCCATGAACCCACCCATTCCCCACTCTTACCTCGAATTTCCTCTGAAAAGCGTGTTGCAGCAATATATCCTATCCGCTCTTCCATGATTTCACGCTCCAATCGTTGCTTTTCTTCTCGTGCCTTGTTCACTACGGATGCATAAAACGAAATGAGCACATTATTGTACAACAAGGACCAGTCAGCATTACATCGATGGCGTAGATCGCTAATGTCGGCTTTGAGTCTGTCTTGAGGCGTAGGGAGGCTACACGCGTCATGCCTTGAGTACTCTGTTGTATGCAAGGTGCATTGGACCAGGGGAAGCTTACAATGTGTCGTCGTCTTCAAGCATGGTGTATGTATGTCAAAGAAGCAGAGTTGTAAAAGAGAGGGAAATCCTGTGTCTTGGGAAGACCCAAATAGTCAATTTCGATATCAGCACGTGACATCCACCTACGACTACTGTGTCCCATTACCCGTTGCTTCTACCATAATAAACCAATTCGTTTGCATTCCAATGTCTAAAGTTTTAATGAGTGAATCAATGCACCACTAAAGTTGGAAGAATAATGCCAACCTAATGATAGGTAAAGGAGACTGTGCTTTGATGGAGTGGCGAGAGCGTCGTGATTACAACAAAGTCTACTAGCCAACCCATTTAAGTATACATCATCATGATCGTTGTGAATTCAAGCAAGAGAAAAGGAGTCTACCATACAATTGAAGCACTCAAGCGAATGCATAGCCGTTGTAGGCCAACGATACAATACAAATGAAGCCATTTCTAGTATACCTTGTGATACGCAGCAGATATGAATCCAATGACTGATGGCTCATGTTTTACCATGTCAACGAAACAAATTTCATTCCAAAAACTCGGGTCGGCGACATGATAGTTATTGGAAACAAATAGAATAAATAATGGATTGGAAAGTGCATTGTGACCAAACCATTCAGGGACACGGCATATCTAATCATCACATTGTTGTGAGACATCCCAGCAGCAGCACGCAGTTGCTATCCATGCGTTGTAGGATAATCGGTAATGATTAACATGCATTGTGTTTTTTGCCAAGGCGGTCATTTTAACCAGGACGATTATGCCAAGTGATGAAAAAAAGCTGGGTGTAATAGTGACGCTCGAGCCAAATGGCTGGGTTTATTTTTTTGGGCATTGGTCAACAACATTCCATGAGCTGGCTTTGGGTGATACAACATCCCCCACCCAATTTGTATAACCGACAGTGTGCTTGTGTAAGATGATAAATGCTACTACTAACTACGACTACTACTACCATCCATAGCCGTATGCTCCATGAACATATATCATGTTTGAAGCATGGCATGTGTATCAGCAGATGTAAAAAGAATGGTACCACAAGATACATACGCGTCTCAATGGCTGGTTGCTATCCTTACCAATGCATCGCCATCATGGGGACAAGAGCCCAGACCTGTTGCTATTGTTATGCCGCATCACCAATGGAATCAAGGTCCATGGAAACAGTCGCACCCATTGAGGAATTGCCATTTTTGAGTATTTAGAGTTTGCTTTGGGTTCCATCTCGGTCTCGATCGCTTTCTTTTCTCTCTTTTGCCTTTCCCTTTTTTTTATTTCCTCCAAGTGTGCTCATTGCGTTCATGTCGCGACAACAGCAACAACAACAACAACCTCTTGCTCCTCCATCACCTTCCTCTTCTTTTTCAGCAAATACACGTGAACGACACATTTCATTAAAAGAGGACAAAGTGTTGGTGGTACCAACACCTACTACAACAACAACGGCTGCAGCAGGTCAATTCCTTTTCTCTTTTCATAGCCGTGATTGGAGCGTGGATGATTGATGATGGATGCAGGAATATAGGTCTCCTTACCCCGCCATTGGGCTTGGATAACAAAGCAACAAGCGTAGTCAATGACAGTGACATTTATCATGATGCGTATAGCTGCATGTTTCGGATATCGCTCGATTCAAAACGCACAACAGGTAAAAAAAAGTGTCCCTTACTTCTATGCAGCACACGCCACATATACACTGACACAACAACAACAACACTGTAGCTGCCCTGTGCTATCTACCAACACGCTTTCAAAACATTGTTGAATTTTATCATACTGTAAGCAGCAATAGCCCCTCTCTTTTTTCTCAATGATAATAATCTTCTATGATGATCCTATGTAGGAGATACCACATGCATACCGTGATAGAGGCATCGGTGAAGCCATTCTAAACAAAGCATTTATATGGGCAACACAATCACACATGATGGTGATACCGACATGTCCATTCACACGTCGTTATCTTGAACGGCACAACGAATGGATGCCATGCATTGTACAAAGCGAGCAAGAAGGAGTAGTACGTTACGTGCAAAGACAACAACAACAACAACAACAACAACAACAGAGCTAGGAGGCCATGAAGAAGAAGAACGTAATACTAACGCCACCTACTACTACCACCACCACCACCACCCAATCCCATCATGCATTACATATGATTAATCCACCAATGGAACCAAAAAACACCCAAAAAGATATAATCGCATAATAGTTTTCCTTATCTTTAAAACACACGCATTTGTACATGAACCCAGATAAAGAGTGAAATAGTCAGTGCACATATGTACACACAGCTTTCATCATTGTCGATTACCCAACATTGCAAAAAAGGAAAAATGGAAGGGCAAAGAACATACATAGACCAATGGGAAGATTGTAGATTGATACCAAAGGGCAAATTACTGCTTATCGCAAAGGATCCAATGTCACATTGATGGCAATAATAGGGAGCTCAAATACATGTTCCATTTTATGCATACGATTGTAACAGTTCTCCTTGATATGTACCACCAAGTAGATTCATGTTTATTACAATGGACTTAATAAGAGTGGATGGATGTGGGAAGGGAAGGGGGAGAATGCGTTTGTGTGTGTATGTGTGTATGCGCGCGCCAAAGCCAGCTCGCGTTTATTGTTTGCCTCCTCTTTACCACTATTCTCTCTCTCCCTCCCTCGCACTCTATTTTTACCTCCCCTCAGTTTCGGTCACCCACCCCCTTCACTCGACATACGACAAGCACACGATCCTTTTGTTGTCCTGCACGCACAATGACAGTCAATGTTGCTGGTGAACCGCGCTGTGCGAGGTGCGATCGTGGAGACAAGGACACGTTTCGATTAGTAGTACGATCAGACGCTGAGAGCACCACACGGTACCTGTTTCACGTCCACCGAGACGAGAACTTGGAACACATTCTGTTGCGATTGTACAAGGAATTCCCCAACGAATGGAGGAAGGATGTCGTGTATTACTTTTATGTGGATATGGGTGGCAGCTATTATCCTGTTGAGCATGCATTTTGGTTGAGAGGTATGTGTGTGTGTGTGTTTGATTGACAGCCCAAGCAAGCATCATGTGACACGAACTGGTTCCTTTATAGATCGAGATCAAATTCTGGTTACAACAGTCGAGGATGAATCACAATTGCCGGATGTTAGCATGAATGCAGGTAACAAATAGTGAAGGGCAAACTCTATTCTTGTATGTATGTCTGATCCATGCATATAATACAGTCCATGCGCAGCTTCGACCCCACGTCCAATTACAACCACATCAACAAGAAGGCATTGAACAAATGATTTATATGGAAAGGGCATTTCGTGGTGGTATCCTTGCTGACGATGTAAGTAGTATCACTATACAACATGCATGACATGATTTTAAAGATCCCGCTCCTTTTCATCTAGATGGGTCTTGGCAAGGTGAGTACTACCCCATGATGGAATGTGCAAGGAAGGAAGAAATGTAACCTTCTTTACAATTAGACGCTGCAAATGTTGACATTGATCATGCGACAACAACCAAAATTGACGGTCCGGGCACCAACTTTAGTCCTTGTCCCTTCACGTGGTGTAAGTTAAACAAGGCCCCAACGTTCAAAACACACACTGACATTGGCTTCTTTAGTTGGGAGAACAATGGGCTGAGGAGATTCGTACAAAGACGACCTATGGAAGCTTATTGTATTTTATATACAATGAGGAGACGCTTTTGCTTTTGGAACGTAAGTCTACTTTTTGGAAAATGATGGATCCTCAATTGACATGGTTACGTTTAGAGCCTTGTTTTCGTGTTGTTATTGCCACATACGATCGATTACGCAGTGAATTCCGCAATCGACAGATATCCGGTGTCAGTGCCCCACTCATTGATATGGAATGGCATCGTGTTATTCTTGGTAAGTGGGTATCATCGATGATAATGCGGGCCTTAATCTAAGCATGTGAGGGTAGATGAATCCAACAAGATCCGTAGCATGAAGTCCATGGTCACAGAGGCAGTTTTATCATTACGAGCAAAGTATCGATGGTGTATGACAGGCACACCTCTACAGGTAATGGGATTAAGGAAAAAAAACATTAGAGGCAACCGATGACTTATGGATGAAGCACTCCTTAGAATGATCTTTCAGAGTTGTTTCCATTGTTTGCCTTTTTGGAGATCCGCATTGATGCACAACAAAAGATGAATGTCGATTACATTTCAGGATTACTAAGGAAGCATATGGTGCGTCGAACCAAGGAATCATTGCAGACGAGCTTGACGATTCTTCCTCGTAAAGAAAATCGCGTGGTGCTTGAATTTTCAGATGCAGAACGAGCCTTATATGATTACCTGGAACGTGTTCTCTACGCACGGATCAAGGGGAACCGGCAATATGGCATGGCCGGTGACTATACAACCATGTCCGCAGCAGCGGTTTTATATTTACGATTGAAGCAAGGTAATGTCATCCTTCAGCGGTATGATACTTCTTTCTAACTAGAACAGCTTGTGGGCATTTTCGCATCTTGTTGGATAAATTTCCTGATCTTATTCCAATGATCCAAACACGTGATGAGGAACAGGTGGTCGCCGCACTCGATAATGAAGATGAAAATGAACGATCTGCTCGAGAAGATGGAGAAACAGCCGAAGCATTCAATGTCATTGAGAGTTTCTAGTAAGTATGGTTTGGATGAGAAAATAAGAAAGATCACGTGTGGCTAAGTCCATATTAGTGAACAATTTGGTGACAATGTTGAAATGCCGGATCTTCATGCTCTTCAAAAGCTGCCCTATATGCATCATTCGACAAAAGTTGGGTGGCTGATTCGATTCTTGCAAAAGACATTGTTGGAAAACAAGTTAGAAAAGGTGGTAGTGGTGACACAGGTAAGCAAAGGGAGAGAGAGAGAGCCATTCATCCTCTTGAAATTTGACCTTTGTTGTTTAGTTTGTAGATTTGCTGATGGTGATATCCGATATCCTCAGATCGATCAACATTCGACATAATACTTGCAAGTTTCAGAGGGGGGATGGTACATTCTTTGTCGTTTGGCTCATTGTTGTCATCCTCTTTTTAGATCATGGTGATATGAGTGGCGCATCACGGATGATCAGCTTGCGTGAATTCAACCACAGGCCTGAAGTGAGAGTGATTTTACTTTCTTTGAAAGCTGGTGGTGTTGGTTTGAACCTTCAACGGGCTAATCACATGGTGATTTTGGACAGATGGTAACGTATCACAAAATGTATGTTGGTTGGTGCCTGTGATACTTATATGCATATGTAGGTGGAACCCAGGTAAATTGGAGGGCTGAAGGAAAGAACAAAGGAAGGAATAGGTTATTCAATTTGATTTCTCTCTGTGATACTTTTTTTTTCTTCGCTTCGATGATGGTGATGATAGCAACGATGGGTAAGCCAAGGATGATGATGATTGGAACAATATGGCAATAGGATATTGATTCTCGTGATATAGATCAAGCCATTTCCCGCATTCATAGAATGACCCAAAACAAGCAAACCTTTATTCACACAGTCGTGATCAAGGATACAGTAGAAGAAGGGCTTATGGACAACGTGCTCCGGAAAAAGGTAGGAAACCCCCCTCACCATTATTGAGTTGCCACGCTTGTATTTATTTATCTCTTTATACTTTAGAGCGAATTGTTCCGATCGGTCGTGGAGGATGAGGATCATGGTCATGCAAAAGGTGTTGATATTGTTATGCTCGACGCGGAAGAAGAATAAGCTTTCCCGCTATTATTCATTCATTCCCATTGCTATTAGTTTACGGCTCCCTCCCCGCCTTCCCTTTCTTTCCCCTCACACCCATCTTATGTTTGCTTTTCTCTCTCCCTCTCTCTTTCAGCATACTGCAGGACAGCATCTTGTTGATTGTATAAATGTACGATGTTATATAGTGATAAAATGTATATATTTTATACACCCAGATTTATCAGTGGCGTCTTACTCGATTCGGTAATACCAATGATCCGAGCACCCTATGGACGAATTTGGTGTTCCCTGTTCCTGGAGTGCAATGTTCGGAGGATCAACCTTAACATTATTGCCCTGTGGAAAAAACAACGAACAGCATAGCCATAGCAATAGCGCTCCTGGACCCGCTTTTTGTCTCTATGGCTCATGACAGGCGTAGCACAGTCGTGTTGCACGTAAATTGCATCAGGAGTTTGTTTGCCGTTGGAAGAATAAAATCAAGCAATGATGATGCTTTGCATGCATTGATCCACACTTTTGATGTCGTACTGAGTTTTTTCAAGCGGGCAATAATATTGATTTGTACATCACGAATCACATTTATTCGGGTGGTCAGTGATGAAGGGAAAAGAAAGATGTAGATGATAACATCCACCAAGAGACAAATGAACGAATACAATAGGAAGGCAATAGAGATGGAATAGGTCCGTGGGTTGATTGATAATCGTAGTAGGTGTTCAAAATTAAGGTCAAGGGCATGGATCATGTGCAAGTAGTGCTTTTTTTTCCTATTTCACTCGGTCTACTTGTGTCTTTTTCCTCTTTCCCTTTCTTGTATACCATCTATTTTTCTTACTCAAATTCAATACCCACGAGAGGCTCGTCTTTTATAAACGAACACGACTTTTTCGAGATGCAAGACAACAAATGGTCACCATCTCAAGATCCACCTCATGGTTACATGGCGTTGTCTAACACAAACTACCCCTCTTACCGCGATCCCGCAGCTGTTGCTACTGCTGGTGCTGCTGGTGCTCCACCACAACCACAACCACAACCACCCACTATTCCTCAACCTCCACACACCGGTGAAGGTTCTATTCATGGGTAAGCTACATCATTCTATTATGGGGGAAATCAGATTAATGTGGCCCGGGAGAGAAAAGAACGTGATTATGGTATGTGCACAGATACCCACTACAGGTGATTAACTCTATACGCGTGGGATGATGATAGGTTAATGTCAATGACGCAGCCTGCCACACCACAACCAGAAAGCGTATCATTACCTCCTACTCCTCTTGGTGATAAATCGCCACAAAGCACTACAAGTGGTGGTGGTGGTCCTGGTGCTGGTGTTGCCAATGCTACTCCTGGTGCTGGTGCTGTTCGTCCCATGATTCCAACACGACCAGCCAGCTTTTCGGGTACTACTACAACCACCAACGCTTTTTCTTCACATCCTTATCCTGACTATGTCAATCGGAAACGACGCACAGAATCTATTTTTTCATTTGAAATGGGTCCTACTTTTTCGTCTACAAAGCAACTTGAAGAGCTTTATAGTCTTGATCAAAGTAACAGGTAACAACATAATGCAAATGATCTTACACGATGACGCTTATTGACTCATTCATCGATTACATAGATATCAAATCCAATTACATGCCAAAATGGATCGTGGATTCTTTCGAGCTGAACAAGATTGGGCATGTTATCGTCGCAACTATTTCCAAGTGAGCAGCACATTCGATGTTCATGGTGTCAATTACATGCTACAAGGCTCTGAAGTACCTTGTTTATTACGTACATCACAAAACGAGATCCTTCAAATCGAATACTTTTCAATTGGCGTGAGCGCGCGTGTCACTGGCAATCCAGACAAAAAGATTGAATTGGTGCAGCATACTCCCAAGCGCGACAAGGGTCCACAAATGATTCCTAAACCACAAGCGATTCGAGCAGGTGGCAACCTTCACTTGGCATCGGTGGGGTCCAATCATCACATTGCTACCTTTGAACGTATGCAATTTAAAACGGCCACAGCCAATAATGGAAAGCGTCGAGCAGCACAACAATATTATGAGATTGTCATTGAACTCTATGGCAACACGGCTCAAGGTCAAGAGATTTGCGTGGCAACATGTTATTCGGCACCCTTGGTTGTGCGTGGTCGTAGCCCTGGTCATTATGCAGATTCACATACACGTTATCGACATAGCTCAGTAGCTTCTTCTTCATCGGCAACATCATCTCAACATCCACCACCACCTCCTCCACCTCCTTTACAATTGCCAACATCACCTCCAGTGAATGATTTGACACCTTATTATTATGATTATTCTTCTCCTCATCCTCCTCATCACAGTCCTTATCCACCACCACCCACTTCTTCAAGTGCTCCGGATTCCTATTTTCAAAGACCTGAGAACAAGATCTCTATGCCACCTCCACCCCCCGTCATGTCAACGGATCCAGCGTATTATGAATCAGCTCAACCAGCAGCAACAGCACCAGGGTTCTATTCCAGACATCCAGAAGCTAAGGTATGTATACAATAAGGAAATATACCTCCAATCGGGAAATCATCCTTACTCACACGCTAAATTTCCTCAACAAGGATCCCTCATTTTCCACCACAACACCCTACAATGCTTATGGTACCACAGCTCATCCACCACCTCCTCCTCCATCAGCAGCAACTGCACCTCCACCACCACATCATCATCAACATCATCCTTCACAATCATCCCATCCTTATGATGATTACAGTGGATCGTATTCTTCCTCTTTGCAACAACAACAACAACAGCAGCAACAACATTAAGAAGTTCTTCCTTATGCTCGTTCAACACAAAGATGATTAAGAAAAACTACCAACAACGGCTGGGCCGTTAAAAACTCAAGTTGTGAATCCTCCCATTTTGTATTTTGATATTGGATATGATTATATAATATAGTTTAGATGTTACAGATATATAAAATTCCAAGTGGCTGGTCTTATGGTTACTTTTCAATGCAGATCATACAAACCCCGAGGGGTGGACGAGAGGGATTTGAGGGTGTGTGCGCGTGTAATGTGTTTCACCTTTCCTTTCTCTCTCTCTCTCTTTCTTCTCTCTTTGGGCCACTCACTTTTCTTTTTTCCCCAACAATCCCAACAATATTTTCTTCGAGCCACCATGGCTACTGGCTGGCTACATAATCTTACCTATGATATCGCATTATGGATATTCATCCTTGTGCTCGAGATCTTTTTCAGAGAGATACGACCAAGAGGTGCACATAGAGTACCAAAGCAAGGACCTGTCATTTTCGTCGTAGCACCTCATGCCAACCAAGTAAGCTCATTGAACCACCCCATGCACACACTCCCTTCATTCCTTCCCCAGCTTATCGACGCATGGTGCAATGTAGTTTGTGGATCCCATTATATTGATGCGTGAATGTGGACGACGGACCTCGTTTCTTATTGCCGAAAAGTCGATGCACCAAAAAGGGATTGGCACGTTTGCACGCATGATTCACGCCAGTGAGTAGTAGTCATAGTAGTAAATAGGATCATTCTTTTTTATTGACACTTTTCCTACTTTCTATATAGTTCCAGTGATTCGACCACAAGATTTGGCTGTACCTGGCAAGGGGCGTATCCAATTGTTAAATCGCAAATCCGAACCCTGTCGAATCACTGGTGTTGATACCCAATTTACCCAACAATTACGTCCAAAGGATATGATTGCGTTACCCAAAAACGCCGGCAAGGCTGAAGTCACCGAGGTCGTGTCAGATACCGAGTTGATGATCAAGCGAGAATTCAAGGAACTCAAGGCACTCGAATTGCTATCCAATGATGAGGGTACTCCATACAAGTGCATGCCACACGTGGAACAGGAGTCGGTGTATCGCTGTGTTCATGAAGAACTCGCCAAAGGTCAAGGCATTACCATCTTTCCTGAAGGAGGCAGTCATGATCGTGCTGAATTGTTGCCCTTGAAAGGTAGGGTTCTTGTTGTCGTTGTTGTCGAATCTCCCCCCCCCCCAACAAGGCATATGTTAACGCATGATGATGGATTGTGTGTATATAGCTGGTGTCACCTTGATGGCTTTGGGTGCCATGGCCAAATACCCGGGTCTCGATGTCAAGATTGTACCCGTAGGTAAGTAGTAGGCAGAGAGAAAATGGGATCATGACAACATACACACACAACAACCCGCTCATCATCTTGTGATAATAATATTAGGTCTCAACTATTTTCATGCACATCGCTTTCGTTCAAGAGCCGTGATTGAATTCGGGAATCCTATCACAATTGCACCTGATTTGGTTGAAAAGTTCAAGCAAGGTGGTGATCCAAAAAGAGATGCTTGTGGTAAATTGCTGGATACTATTCATGGAGCACTCAAGAGCGTAACAGTCAATGCGGGTAGTTATGAAACCTTGATGGTAAGTCCAAAGACAAGGTGACCTACATACATGTTGTGTTGATGGTATGGCCCTTTAGTTGATTCAAGCAGCACGACGTTTATACAAGCCTGCTCATCGCAAGTTGCATATTTCTCAAGTGGTGGACCTCAATCGTCGATTCCTTATTGGATACAACTTGTTCAGGGATGATCCCAAGGTGATTGAATTACAGCAACGGGTCCTCGCCTATAATCAAATGATCAAATACCATGGTTTACGTGATCATCAAGTCTGCAGAGTGGATCTCAGCGGTCGACGTACATTGATGCTCCTTTTGAAACGCGTGTTTGTTTTATGTATTCTCACGTTATGGGCATTCCCAGGGTAAGGAAGAGATGACCATCCATCCCCGTAGTAGTATACTCATCGTGTGATCTATACATAGTGGTATCTTGAATCTACCCGTCGTGATTGTTGCCAAGATCATCAGTGCCAAAAAGGCCAGCGGTAAGTAGTACATGTCTTTTTTATTATCATGACAACCCTACTCACACTATCTGCAGCTGCTGTCAAGGGATCCACTGTCAAGATTGCAGGACGTGACATTTTGGCCACATGGAAGATCCTTGTTGGCCTCGTCCTTTTACCCATGCTGTATGCATTTTACAGTCTTTGTATGTTGGTTGCCGTGTTTCAAACCGATTGGGATCTTCGATGGAAGCTCTTGTTGCCTGCTGCGACATGGGTGATGCTCCCCTTTGTTTCATATGCAAGTTTACGATTTGGTGAGATTGGAATTGATATTCTCAGGTAACAATAGGTCGTGGTACAAGATGGGCCTTAAAAAAGCTGATGATTTTATATGTATAGATCGCTTCAACCTTTGGTCATGTCTCTTTTGGATCCTGATGGCGTTCAAACATTACGAGCCAACCGTGAAAAGTTGTCACATGACATTACGGACCTCATCAATGAATATGGACCCAAGGTGTTTCCTGATTTTGATGGTATGTGTGTTTATGGATCATTGGGGGGGTGGAGGAGTGAATGGGAATCATGCTTATCAATAATCAACATGAATGTATGTATGTAGCCGAATATATTAGTCGTACGACGAAAAAGACCGACACAACGCAACAACGACCTTCAGCAACACGAAGCAGTAGTTTCAGTTGGTCAGTGGCTACTACACCCAGCCGATTACCCAAAATTGCTAGTGGATTCTTTCAACAAGCAGTGCGCATGGGATTGGATGACAAGAGTATATTCAACTGGGGACGCATTGAAGAAGATGGTGGTGGTGGTGATGACAATTCCTTTTATTTGGGTCGACTCAATGGTAGTTTGACACCTGCTACCAGTCGTCGTGGATCGGCAAGCGAATCGGATGCTGGAGGCTCATCCTCTGCCACATCATCACGAAGTCGTGCAGGCAGCTTTGGCAATGATGGATTTAGAGTGGAAGCAATGACAAGTCTTGCGAAACGACCCAAGTTTAAGATTGAGGATTATGATGAAAAGAAGAAATTGGAAGATGAAGGTTATGCAGGTGATCGAGAGGAGGATGAGCAGCATAAAAAGTTAAAGTAGTCGTTGCCATGGAGTCCCCCATCAAACATTTTGCATGAATTAAAGTCACACGCTTTTCTACACAGAAAGTCCAGCTATTCCTGCTACTTGCTTTCTTTACTTTTACTTTTGCCCTCCCCTCCCCCCCAATGTCTTCTGCTTTCGACGCATTTGTCACCGTTCACCAGTATCAACTGACCTCGATCCCCAAAGATCTATGGTTGGTAGGTTACCATTCAATTGATCCCTTCCCCAAGTGAATGCTCTGTTTAAAGTGCGCGTGAACGCGTTCTCATGCTCCATTGCAACTACGTGTAGCCCTTGTTTATGAAACTCGGCGAGGATTATTTGGATGCAGGCAAGTGTATTTACATAGGATGATAATGATAGCCATTAACGAGTGGGATGTATATGAATAGGCAATTTTGTTGAGCTTCATCAAGGCGATTGTCTCGAAGGATATTCGTTGCATGTCAAAAAGGATCAGAAATTGGAGAAGCACGGGTAAATAGAGTGAATGCCTTGAAGGATAGAGAAGAAAAACGACCTAACAACGCTATTAGTGATATCTTTTTAGTGGATCATGCATGGACGACGCATCCCGAGACAGCACGCAAGGAACTTTTGGAGAATCCCAATCTCTTGGAACGTTTGGAAGGCATGATGAACATCGAAGCTGACGATGAGCCTGAGCTCAGTGAGGATGAAGAGGAACAAGTTGAGCATGATGATGAGACCATTAAGGCCGTAGCAGAGCAAGCCAATGTAAGCTATCAAGAAGCCAAGGATGCTCTGGAAGCTGAAAAGTATGAAGTTGTCAATGCTATTACGGTAAGCTTTTATAAATGGATGCATGATGATGTTGGTATTCACTCTTTAATTTAGCGCTTGACTTTGGATGAGGATTTCAAAAAGGAATCGGAGCGCTTGCAAGACCAAGTGCTTGGTCAATTGATTGGTATGTGTGTGGTGTGCTATTGATCCAATGACATTTATTCATTATGGTGTAATAGCCAGTGGCAAAGCTCAAGAAAAAGAAGACAAGGTCAAGAAGGAAAAGGAGGAACGACACAAAGCACGTGTGGAAGCATGGCAAAAGGCACGAGTGGATCGCGTTTGCAAGGACATGTGGTCGTATCTCCAAACCTATTCATACGCTGTGTTGCAACAAGATGGTCAACCCAAGACTCAAACAGCTTGGTACATGAACGACGAAGTTGGTTCGGCTCTCGCACATTCATCCGACCCCAATGTTGTTTGTGTCCCATTCATCTTTTCTCGTGGTGCCAGTGGTATGATTCCCTACAGCGTCATGTTCCCTATCAAGGACATTCAGCCCGGTGAAGTCATGACATGCGACCTTGTCCCTAAAAAATTGGAACGACCCCTGGATCGTGCAGCATACTTGATGGCTTTCCAACAACGTGTTTTACCAGAGCATAACGTCCATCATCAAAATGATTTGGTTCAAGCTTACAAGGTATACACATCGACTAAATGGCACGATCTATATATCATTGTACTCATCATGTATTGCTATTAGATGTTTCAAACTCGACTTGATCAAAAGCATTTCAAGCCTGATGTCCAACCTGTTGTTCAGCAACAATCGAAGGTGGAAAAGCAAGATGTCGTCAAGGTTTACAGCACCACTGAATATGTGCGTCAATATTTGAAGCTTCCCAATGCCAAGTTTACCAACTCGGTTGATTCCGCCGACTTGATCTGGTGTAGCCAAGACTTTGATGGATATGATAAGCTCAAGCCCAACCAAATGATCAACCAATTCCGTTATGAAAGCTGTGTCACTTATAAGCAGCGTCTTGCCCAACTTGTGCAGTACGTATCAACCTTTGTCATTGTATGGATGGATTGGTATGCTAACAAAAGAACCTTTATGCAGGGAAACATGGGGTGCTCCTCAATGGTTGCCTCGTACTTACAACATGACCACCCAATTGACCGAGTTTGTTGGTGACTATTTGGCTCATAAGGATGAGGAGAATGATTTGTGGATTACCAAACCATGGAACTTTGCACGTGGCATGGAGATTGATGTATCTGGTCAATTGCCCTTCTTGATCCGCCAATATGACTCGCCCACACCCAAGGTGGTTCAGCAATATATCACAAAGCCATGCTTGTATAACCACAAAAAGTTCGATTTGCGCTTCATTGTCCTCGTCAAATCCGATGGCACTGTTTGCGTATACAAGATGTTCTGGATTCGCCTCGCTAATAAGCGATTCAACTTGGGTAAGGCTAACGTGGATGTGTGTATCCATGGATACTGATATGGTTGCTATGCACAGAGAATTTGGATGATTACGAATGCCAATTTACAGTGATGAACTATTCCAATTTCCCCATGACCCAACTTGACTACAAGAGCTTTATTCACAACATTGAAAAGCAGCATAATATTCAATGGAGCCCTATTCAAGAGGATATCCATAATGCCATCAAGGGTAGGCTCTCTCTCTCTTTGTCTACGTGGATTTGCAGGATATTGAAAATGTGATTGATTATAGATGTTATCTCGGCTGCCATGTCAAAGAATCAACCAATTGGTCTTCGTGAAAAATCAGCACCTTCTTATGGCGCATTCAGCATGTATGGCGTTGACGTGATGCTGACGGACACTTACAAGCCTGTCATTTTGGAAGTCAACTTTTCGCCTGATTGTACTCGTGCATGCCAGGTAACGATGGAACTAGATGCTTCTTTTACAATGATCCTCACGCTCTCTCCTATAAATAGTATGATCCTGAATTCGTCAACAATGTGTTCAAGGCTGCTGATCCACGCTTTGGACAAGTGGCACAAGGCTTGGAAGCTTTCCATGTACTATAGATAGAAGTATAAAAAACACGCATTAAAGGCATAATGGCATACCTAATTCATGTGTGTGTGTAATGGCCAATAGAAACAAGAATTATGCATTGTGGATCGCACGTGACACAAACAAGTATTAATAAGATGACTGTGGAAATCGCGTTCTTCCAAACGCGTATATACGCTTTATTCGCTCTTTGGACATTGACCATGGTGGAGATCAACGACGACTTTTTTCAAACAAAAGACTTTCAAAACAAACTTGAGAGGTAAGACATGCAATGCTTGACAACACGATGCTTGTGGCCGCTCACACTACCATTCTGAAAGCATTATTCGCAATGGAGATCCAGGGTAAATGACGTCCAAAAACAACTGCTCGAGTCGTTTGGCATTAAAGCAAGGAAACACTTACACAACCAGATATTTAAAAGGGTGTTGACAGCATCAGTTATCCGAGGCGAGCTTGAGAAGCAACTGGTAAGCAGCATTCGATGTTTTTGTTGCACAAACGCTCATTGTGTTGTATATAGGGACTTGAAGAACAAGCTCTTAGACCATGGAAAAAGATTGTAAACAGCCATATTGACACCACCTTTGTAAGTCATCCTTATTCCATTCAAGCCATTTTACTTATGAAGATCATAGACCAAAATATTGGAAGAGGAGAAGAATCCGCCCAGCGAGCCTGAAGAAGAACCAAGCAGTCAGCAGGAAGAAGATACCCAGACACCAAAGGAATCAGAGCCAAGTCATGAAGAGGAAACTAAATCAGATCAAGAGAGTGTGAGTGGTTACGCTTATCGTTTATCATAATCTTACCTTGTTGGAATAGGACAATGTTCAGGAAGAAGAAACGAGCCAACGAGAGACCCCTGTGTCATCTGCATCAGACAATGAAGCCACTCCAAGCAAGAAAAAGCCAAAAACACCAAAGCAACCACGCAAGAAACGAGAATCAAAAAAAGAACACAAGGTAGATAGATCCATATGGAAGAGATACAGCTGTTTTTTTGACCTGGAGACAATTAGACCTCTGCAACAGAAGAGTCCATCAAGCGTCTCAAGATGTATATAAACAAATGCGGTGTGCGTAAAGTATGGCAAAAGGAGTTGGCTGATTGCAAGACAATGAAGGATCAAGTCGAGAAGCTTAAAAAGATCCTTGCAGATCTTGGTGTGGAAGGTAAAGGGTCACGTGATCAAAGTGATAGAGCGCTGCTGCTAAACATGTTGTATCATCAGGACGTCCAACCCTCGAGAAATGCCAAAAAGTCAAGGCTGAGCGAGAAATCAAGGCTGAGGTGGATAGCTTAGATACCGAGAATATTATCGAGAGCACAAGTCGCCGAGCAACACGTTCCCAAGGTCCAAAGAGGAAGCGACGAGTGATTGAATCGGATGACGAGGATGATGAGGAAGGACCGGGACAAAAGGTAGCTCTTTTGATACGTGGCTTGAACCAGGTTTGGGAACAAAAATACTAATGGATGGAATGTGTAGTTGACACGAACAGAGAATAACCCTCTTGATCTATCCTTCTTGGGCGATCAGTCAGATAGCGATTAAGTTCTTATATACACATACACATACATCAATAACAACTAGCATTATCAATCACAATTTTATGAATACATGTACAACTATTGCTGTCATCAAATTGCTACCTAAGTGGGAACAATATACACAAGCAGGAAGAGTAGTACTGAAAAGGTTGATGTTGTATATGTATTATACTACACGCCATGTGAATCTTTATTATATCAAATGTCAATCACTTCGCTCAAACATCCACTGCAACGAGGAATATCTAAAAATTCAAAGAACTCTGGCTTTTGTCGAGGAGGTAATTTTCCAACGGCAGGCACTCGTCGATGTTCCTCTTGTGCTGGTTCTTCTTGTTGTCGTTCTTCTTCTTCACCTTCACTCTCGCTTCGAGTCCAATCAAAGCCATTTTCACTGACAGGGCTCAATCCATTCATCATCAGCTTGACTTGAGCATTGTCCAAGGCAGCTCTTCCATTTTCCATCGTCTCCTCGTTTTGCTCTCTGACGGCTTGTTGATCATTCCACATTCGATCTAAATGTGCCTTGTACTCGGCGTGTAATCGTTGAAGCGTCGTTTCCAATTCACGTTTCTCACGCTCAAGCCGTGTCTCGGACTCGAATTGCCTATCTCGAACTGTTGTCAATTCTCGGCGAATGGTGTCAAAGGCTTCCAATTGCCGATCCAGCCGGCTTTGAAGCTCTTGTAGCTGCGTCTCTTTCTCATCGTATTGCGTTTGCAGTTGCTTTGCCTTGTCAATGGCTTCATCACGCTGTTGAACGAGGGATCCATCATCCACCTGCTGCTTTTGCTCTTCAAGCTGTTGTTGTAAATGCTCTACTTGCTCTTGTTGCTGTTGCCTGCTGGTCTCAACCTGCTCCATTTCACTTTGTAATTGGGTGATTTGCTGTTCACGCTGTTGTAGCTTCATTTGCACTTGTCGAAGTTCATGAGATAGCTTTTGGTTGTCTCGACTATAAGTTTCTCGAAGGGATGTCTCTCGTGCGGTGGAATTCTCCTCTGCAAGTTGATGTGCTTCCTTCACCTTTTCGCGTTCCTGGTCGAGTGATGCGTGAAGCTCCGTGATCTTGGCGTGTAGTTGTTCCATATCACGATTCGATTCTTGCTTAGCAACATCGTGTTCATCTATGACCAAAAATGAGTTAACTGAAAGAGAGAGATATTGAGTCATGACGTACCTTGCAATGCTTTCAACTTTTCATGGTGCGTTTGCATGATCTTTTCATGTTCTTGCTGTGCCTTGGAAAGAGCGTCTGCATGCTCATCTACACATAAAAACATATTAGCAACGGTATAAACCCACACGAATCGTTCTTTCTACTAACCTTTTAAAGCGTTGGCCTTTTCAATGTGCTCAGCAATTGTCTTTTCATGCTCTTGCATTAACTTTTTCAATTCGGCATCATGATCGGCTAAGAAACCACGTTAATGGATCTAGAACTTTATATGGCAATCCACCACCTCTCACCTTGCAGCGACTCAATCTTGGCTTTATGCTCAATTTGGATTTCCTCATTCTGTTGCTGTGTCTTTTCGAGGGCACTCTTATGTTCAGCTTTGACACAAATGGTTAATACGATCCACGTGTATTGCTTCTAAACGAACACCCCAACGCTTACATTGTAGCTTTTCCAATTCCTGCATATATTGCTTCTGCTCTTCTTCTCGGGTATTTACAAGGTCTAGGATCGCGATGAGTTGTCTTGCTATCATTTTCACTGATACACATATTTACCTTCCAAGGATTTGATTTTCTCAAGATGCTCAGCAGCGACCTTTTCATGTTGCTCACGTTCTTGCTTCAGCATACGTTCGTATTCAGCTGCGAAGGTATATAATGAGACGATGTCTTTTGATTCACACGCTGGTACAGCATACCTTCGAGTGACTCGATCTGTTGCTTGTGCTCCATGATTGCCTTTTGGCTCTGCTCTCGTTCTTCTTGTAGTATTTTCTCATGCTCAGCTATAAAACAATTTTAGTTAGAGCTTAGCAGAGAGTAGTACATACACCATTGACGTCCGTACCTTTTAATGCAGCAAGATTATCTTCTTGGTTCTTCAACTCGCCATGTGACTTTTTACGTTCCTCCTCCAAAATCAATGCATGTTCATCTATCCGAGGGACATAAAGCATCAGTACTACAAGTGAACATCCTTATGTGGTGATTCGCACCTTGCAAAGCCTTGATCTTTTGGTCATGTTCTTCTAGTGCTTTTTGCCTTTGTTCACGCTCGGAAGCGAGTTTGGAATCGTATTCACCTATGTCCCGGTACGTTAATCATCCCATATTACATACCACAACCCATACTTACTATGCAAGTCACTTATTTTCTGGTTATGCTCCTCGATGGTCTTTTGATTGAGCTGACGTTCATTGGCGAGTGCCGACTCATGATCACCTTTGATACATGTATCAATACAAGCTCATATTCGATGGCATTCATATCGTACCTAAGAGCGTCTTGATCTTCTCGTCATGCTCATTGGAAGCTTTTTGGATCAGACCACGTTGTTCTTCGAGCTCCTTTTCATGTTTGACTACAAGAAACATTAGTTTGTGAAGTAGGTGTGCCATCACAACAAAATGTACCTTCTAGTGCCTTGACTTCTTCCTCATGCTTTTTAACTGCCTCCTCCTTCTTTGCTTGTTCTTCAGCGAGGGCTGTCTTATGAGCAGCTATTGAAGGGGGGGGGTTAGATGCTAGGACAATAGAAGTCTCAAAATAAGGTACGCACCCTGCAATGATTCCAGCTTTTCATTGTATTCTTGAAACGTCTTATCGCGATCTTGACGTTCTTTTGCTAGCAAGCCATCATATTCTTCTAAAATAAAAAGTCATGTAAGATACCAAATAAACCATCACTGGGATAGACACTTGTACCTTTCATTGTTTTCTCCTTTTGCTGGAAGTCTAGAGTCGCTTGATTGGCTTGTTCTCGCTCTTTGGCCAAGGCAGCTTCATATTTATCTAGAACGAAAATATTAATCTTACATGTACCATTTTGCAATGCTCTACGGCCTCCTTACTCACCTTGCAACTCTTTCATCTTGAGTTCATATGCTTCAATCGACTTTTGACTCTGCTCCTGCTCCTTGGTCAATGTTGCCTGGTGATCATCTACATCATGTTGACATGTTACTTCGCTATCCATTTCCCCATGTTGATATTTTACCTTGGAGCGACTTTAGCTTTTCCTCATATTGTTGCAATTGCTGTTGATGTTCTTCTTGCTTCTTTTCAAGCATCGCTTGGTACTTTTCTAAAACATCATATAAGCAACTTTCCAAACTATGCCATCCATTCCCTTCCTTACCATCCTCGGATTTGATCTTTTCTATAAAGCAAATTAATTCCATATCAAAACAATGTCTATCATACAAATGTACTACCTTGAAGAGCCTCTGTTTCTTTTGTATGTTGCTCAATGACTTGCTGCTTCTTGTTCTCGACCTCTTTAAGAGCAGACTCGTGCTCGGCTATTACCCTAGTTAATCAGTGGTCCTTTCAACCAGCGTTTTTCCCCTTGTTACCTTTGATGGCTTCCAATCTTGCTGTAAACTCTTTTTCTTGTTTCTCTTTTTCTTGATCCAATAGGGATTGGTGTTCAGCTGCATAGGATAAGTGTTAGGTCAGGTATGATTATCAACCAAAGAATGGATCGTACCTTGCAAATCATTGATCTTTTTTCCAACCACTTGTTCATGTTGCTCTCGCTCTTGGCTCAAAATCGCTTCATGCTTGTCTACAAGGATCGTAAGAACTCCTGTGATGATGCGCTTTTACTTGGCTTACCTTGAATGTCTTTTAACTCTTGGGCGTGTTTCTCACTCATCTCCTTAAGCTTTTCTTGTTCCTCTCTCAAGATCTTGTCATGGTCAGCTAGAATACAAACCATGATTAATATACATAAAAGAGGTCGACCTTCCAACATGAAGCACACCTTGCAACGCTTTGAGCTTATCAGCGTATTCATCATTCGCTTTGCGTACGAGTTCTTGCTGTTGTTGAGCCGTTGAATCGTGCGTGGCTATGCAATCCATGTTAATAGTGTACGATGAATCAGCATTACTCTTCCTTGTTACCTTGAAGTGCCTTTATTTGTTCCTCATACTCATTCTGGATCAGCTGTTTGGCGTTTTCCATTGCCTCCTCGTGCTCCGCTAAGATTTGTATGTCAAGGTTAACAATAGCTATGACCGTGATGCCATCCCTTCCTTACCTTTAAGCGATTGGATACTCTTTTCATGTTGATCCTCTAGCTCTCGCTTCTCGCTTGCCACTTTTTCATGGTCCTCTATTATCAGATATATGTTAGATCTCGAAAAGATGAACCCATAACTCACCTACCTTGAATTGATTTGATCCTTTGTTCATATTCCTTTTTCAAATCCTCGCTTCCTTTGTCATTTTCCTCTACCAGAGAATCATATTGATCTAAACACACATGTCAATAGACATAATGAATCGAGATTCATGAGAAACTACCTTGAAGGGATTTAAACTTCTCCTCCCACTCCTTGTTTAGCTTGTTGTAGCTCTCTCGTTCTTGCTGTAATGCCTCATGATTCGCAGCTATAATATGGGCGAGGTTAAAGACTTGGAATGACACCAACAATACACGTACTTACCTTCCAATATCTTGAGCGTCTCGGTTGCTGTTTCCTCCTTCTTCTTTTCTTCATCCAATGCGGCTGTATCAAATGTATGAGAACCTAATCTACACAAAGTCAAAGATAATCATACCTTCCAAATCCTTGATCCTTTTCTCTTGCTCATTTTTCAATTTCTCCTGCTTCTCCTCAAGCTGCTTCTCATGCTCAGCTATGCATATACAACATGTCACGTGAATAAACCTTGTGTGAGGATGTCTCCATGGCGTATGCTTTTACCTTGTAGATCTTTGATCTTCTGGTCATTTTGCTCCTGTGCTGTGCCAAGTTGTGCCTCATATTCCTCTATAATGATCCCAGTGTTATTATCCCAAACCTTTCACTCCTTCATGGTGGTGGATGTTACCCTTCAAGTTGCTCATTTTGGTAGTGTATTCAGCAATGACTTGCTCTTTTTCGCGGGTTGTATTGAGTTGCAGCTCCTTCAATTCATGCTGTACTTTATCCAATTCAGATGAGGATTTTGCCTCCCAATCCTTTTGAGTCGTGTTCAGCTGTTCCTCGAGTGATTTCACTTTATCCATCCATTCCTGCTCATGCTGATTCGCGGTTTCAAGTTGCTGTGTCTTTTGTTCCAATACATGTTGCACCTGCCCAAGTTGATCCCGCATTGTTTGGATGGATGCATTGAGCTCTTCCACCTTGCTCTCTGACGTACTTTTAACATGATTCATCTCGTCAAGTTGTTGTTTGAGCTGCTGTTCGGATGTACGTAGTGCATCGATTTGACTATTCATTTCTTCCAACTTGGTGGATGTGGCTGCTTTGAGCTCTTCAAAACGCGTTCTGGATGTTTCTAACTCAAGTTGTAGTGCATGGTCGGTGGTTGGTGTAGTGGGTGCTGGTGTTGTTAAAGGTGAAGTGGGTGAAAGAGGTGCCTGTTGCTGCTGTTCGTCCTGCTTTCCACTACAATGTCTTAGCTTTCAATAAACTATTACGTTATCCATAACAATACCTGTCATTGACATCGGATTCAGTTGCATGGGGTGCATCGGGAGTGGGTGAAGCATCTTGCTTTTTGTTCTGGAACTTTTTGAGCTGTACGATTCCCACCCTAGTTAGCACAAGGGACGCGTTGTATCATGTCTTCCTTTTACCTTTTTTCTGGCTGCCAGGAGCTTTGCCTTGCGAGCCTCGTCACTCTCATGGTCGGCCATGACAACAGGTACAAATGGCTTGAGCGGTGTAAAGGAAGCTTTGTGGAGCACGGATCGGATGAACAAAGACAAAGCGGAGGAAGAATTGCATATGGCACGTGATCAAATATACAATCTGTCAAATGTGTTCCCGAGCCCTTAGCCCAGGCAAGAAGATAGTGTCTGCCAACATGTTGATATACCAGAGAGCTGTAATTAATATGAATGGAATGAATGACACTGTTTGAAAATGATCTTCCAATAACGCAACAAGGTTACTTCCTTCGACAGTATCATATAATAGTAGTAGTTATATGGTGAATGACCCATACATAGCAAGTGAATAAATCTTTTGGGCACTATGAATGTACATGATTTATTTGATAAATGCCAATGTGGGTCGTAAAAGGTCTCTGTATGTTTGGAAAATGTAAGGGCTATCTGCTTTGTAGGTCATCAACGATTTTTCCATTGCATCCTACAGCAAAGTTCAGTCATTATCCTCCCTTGTCATACTGTGCGATGCGACAAATTGAATTACCTTCAAGCTTCCAAGGATCTCAAGCGTCTATTTCGTGAAGCTGTACGTGTTGGTCATTGTAGGTAGCGTACAACTTTTCAAAATGCCAACATATAAGTGCCGTCCTCAAAGATCATTGCCGTAATTTCCATATGTGTGCCTAGCAATAACATTCATATTCAAAGCTTAGCGATAAACATGGCAAGTGGAATAAAGTACACGTCTTTACCTGCGATTAGGATGCCGTAGGTTACAAACTCTTGTGATGAACGACATTCTTTCATCCTCAAGTGAAGCTGCCGTTTGCCGTAGTACCACCTCCAAATGGGCTGTGGTATGCCACCTCATCCAGCTTTGCATATGCATCGCAGGAGGTAGCTACATCAAAGGGAATGTGAACATGTGCATCATCAAGCAAGATGATCAGGCTTTACCTTAATAAAAGAGCTAAATATCACAATGATAGCAATGATAATGAAAGTAGGATAACAATGGAAGACTGAAGGCCATCACAAATGAGTCCATGGATCGATCACAAAATAAGAGCATCAACCATTATGATACCCACATCAACTTGGGATTTGAAGGTGTTAACAATCAGAAGAGCGGTATGATGGAAGAAAAAGAGGCGTATGGGAGTATGATCGTAGGCGACAACATCCCTGGTTTATATGTGCACGGTGGGCGTGGGTATTTCTGTGACCACAAAAACTGACAAAAGAGTGATGGGAATGGTGATGAGATGATAGATTGATGGGACGGCTTGACAAAGAGTCTAGTTGTGATTGATTGTCGTTGCATGAATCACGATTTGAGATAAACAAGGTGCGAAAATCCATCATCCAACAAAGACATCCTATCTGCTATGTATCATTTGGTGTCTTCATATACCACAAAATAAGGCGTTTGTGTGAGTGCGTGTTTCATAAAGTCGATGGCATCGTCATTGGTAAGGAAGCTGGTATGTAACGAGCCTATGTGTTGGTTCGATCCATTTAATCACGTGCATAGGTTGAGGATGGTTGGATCTATCTTTGTTCTGCCTGAGATGGGATGAACTTACACCCAGTTAAAGTTTGCTTTTGCTCATTATTGCCTTACATACCGATGTTGTATTCCCAAGAAGTATTGCTGGTCGTATGTTATATCCTCATGCTCATTGACAACAATACTCCAGGCATAAAGCAGCTGCGAGACGCATTTCATTCTCAGACTAAGATGTTTACAATACAAAGGTTCAAATACCACAATGACGACCGTGACAATGAGAGCTGGATACAATGGATCAATGACTGGTGCATTCATGAGCTATGTTTCACGAGATCCAAAAAGACTATCCTCTTTCCCCCTTTAATACCCGCATCAACTTGGACTTTTGAAGGTGCAAACAATAAAAAGAGGTATCATAGATGAATAGCATGAATCAAGTCTGAGCCTTGTCAAAGAGTATTGATAATTGTACCTCCCTTTGCAGATGTCAACATGAATGCAGCACACGCCCTTGATGACCAACAGCACATTCTCAATCATATCCAGTATCCAATGCTCATTTCCAACAAGTACATGATCCCGCATAGTATACTCATCATCATCCACATGGAATAATAGGCCTGATCCCTTTTGATCCATCATACTTTCCATCCACAATCCTTCCATCAAACCGTTCACGTATTCTTCGTTTGATACACCATATGAACATTGTATTTTTGCTTGTAGATAATCCTTACAAATGGTGGGATAATATGATAGTAGTGGAGAAGACTAGCTGGAGCGAAAAAGCATATTCCTGTACACCCGTTCAACAAGCCTCGCCTATCAACAATACCTCGTAAGCGTCATCAGTCGTTGCCAAGTTGGTTGATGCATAATGTATCTTGACCTTGACGACAACCGTCATGTGGAAAATGGGTGGACGATCAAAGGAAGCTAGCTTTTCAAGGCGACCATTGCTGCAGTGTACCTTTGTGCATCACAGGGTGCTGATCACTGTCAAAGCTCGTATGTGTTGTGTATGTCTTTGATGGGTGGCAGTCCTCTGGTTTTGTTGCTCATGGCATCGCGTGTGTCAAAGGTGCGAAGGGTGAAGCAAGGCTGAGTCCCTTTTGGATTCTGCATTTGTAATTCATTCACAAGCTCGGTGGTGCAGGCCACATCGACAATACGTATGAATATGGGGTCAATCCATGATATAAAACATTGGAGATAATTACTATTCCATACTTCTTCATCTATCTCTTTCTTCTGATTCAATAAATGTGATATGAAATGTGCAGGGGAGCCGTATGTATGGATAACGTGTGGCGGACATAGCAGCTGCTGGTTAGTGTAGTAGTACATGCGCGGTGCACGTCCCTCCGCATCGGGATTACATGGATTCGTGTTACAGAGGGAGGAGTCAACTGCATGATTGCCATGACAACACAATTGTATTTCCCCATCCCCACTTGCCCACTTGTGCAAAAAAGAACGGCATCTTTAGGCAGCAATTAGCCTGTATAACGCGCTGCTGCGGTATCCGTAAAAAAGTCACGCTGGGTCTGAAATAATTACGCGTTCCCCTCTCGGCTATAAAAGCAGCGCCCTTTTTCTCGTTTCCCCGGTACGCTTCTTTCTCTCTTTTCGGGAAGGGGATCGAGGTTAAGTGATAAGAAGGGTTTTTTACCACCTGATCTTACGCGGAAGTGATGGTGGTTTTCCCATAAGGAGGGTTAAGGCTTCAGGCTGTTGGAGTGTTGCGTTATACCAACAAGTTCTGCTTGCCGCCCCTCCAAAAATATTCAAAAGCAAATGATAATAACACATAATGACTACCCACTTGCTCTTTAGTATGAGCACTAAACATCCTCTTGGATGCTAAAGTAAAACCCTGTATGTACTTTACACTGTATGCTGTATTGTTATGGGTCATTCTCTATGTCTGTTGATCATTTGCATCTATGTATCTGGTCAACGTTAACGTTCTATCTTGGGGGAATAAGTAATAAAGTTGATTGCAACGCGTAAAGATCATGTATGCCTTCCTTGAAGACGATCTTTTCTCTTACTTTGACACAATGAGCACACGATCTCCCAACCTAATCTCCTGAACAGAGATCGAGATCGTCGTGAAGACAAGGGAATACGATAAAAAAAGAGGACATGGATCAGTACAAGCTCATGGATTCCCTACCCTACGCTTTGCTTACCTGATCCCCATTGTTCTTGGTGCCTGTGCACCCATAAGCCGGATCAAGTACTGCTGCCGAGCAATAGGATAACCCCTTTGATATAATTCCCATAGCAGCTAATGCTTTTACAATAAAACCCAATGCCAAATGGTCTTTGTGGGCTACCTAGATACTTATTGTTGGGGCCACAGTTATACCATGATCATCACAGCTATGGATGACTTCGTTATCGAAAACGTCTGGATCACGTACGTAGTGCATTGTTGTGATCGTGTACATAGTCTCACACATATTGGTGGTGGCGACCAAATGCTTGTTGTATAATGATCGCCATGGAAACCTGACATACAGCAAATATCATCAACAACAGCTTGAGACAAGCAACGTCATTACCACTCTCATACAATTATACAAGATATACTCTTGGATTCACTTATCATTTTGGCCTATTAGCCATACCATGGTAAATATGAAAAGAGCTTCATCCGGGTTATATAGGCGGATCATGCCATACGCCTACTATAGCAAGATCCGTCTATGACAGCGGGTATAGAATGGTTCGTTCTTATATAAGGTTGCAAAAGGTAGCTTTAGCTGAAAGTTGTCATAGGTAAGTATAGCACGTTCATATACTTCTGCCACACTGTATCACAGCTCACTCTTGCTTGAACACAACAATGAAATTAAGCATACAATGAACCAAGCTTCTGTAACAAGCACCATGTTGGGCATCATCACACTCGAATTGCTTATTCTTGCAATACAAGCGTTCCTGAGAATTGCCACTACCTTTCGTCTACGATACTCAGCATGTGAACTAGGAAGCTTTAACGAATGTAATACACAGTGGGAGAAAGAACAAAAACATCTCACTACATTATTGTAAACGATCCAATCTCGCTTTCCCGTATTCAAGTTTCCATTACCCCTTTCAATCCAAAAACCAGCCAAGCGATCCACATCTTACACATATGAGCTGATAGCACAATCCCCTTCTAAGCATTACGTTGAATCCAATTCCATTCGATTAAAAAAGTTGAAGAATAGCATACGGTAGTGTGAATGTTTATAAAGTGAACATGATAGAGGAGCAGTGTTGCAAACTGAATACGATACGGGTGAATCACATAATGGAGATAGGGATAATTGTGTTGTTGTATTCGTGATTGTTGCCGTCATAAACATCCTTCGTCCATGTGCGTACATTGACTCGAGTAATCCAAGATCATCCACGACAATGAACCCTTCGTTCAAAGATATAAGCCCTCTCATCAATCCATCATCATCCTCAGCCTGATCCACGTAACATGATCCTTCCTTCCTGATAACAACGT